CGCATCGAAGAGATTCTAAAAGCCTGTGCGGGCGTGCTACCCTCTCGCCAATCAGTGGCATCCACCCGAGGGCTCCTTTTGGGGGAAGCTTGTCCAAACCAAATCCTCCCCATTCAGGCATGTGCCAGCCAAGTGTGCGAAAGTTAAGAGTCTCTCAAAGTTGGATCCAGGCTATGCCAATAGCAGTTACCCGCCGAACCGGGGGCCCTTGACAGTGGCCGCGTCCTCAGAGCCGCGAGATTTCGCTGTCATTTGGGACATATTGGGACTGGGGATGGTCAGGAAGCCGCTGTTGTAGACAGCCCAAGCGCACAGCACCCACTGAGAGCGATCTTCCGGGGATCAGATTCAATGGAATCAATGCAGCCCGAAACCAATCAAGTTTGGGTTGCGAGGCCCCATCTATTTTTGCGCCCTCTCTGCACCGTTTCCTGGTTTGGGGCAAGTTGGAACCTTAGATGGATGGCAAAGCCTCCTGAGACAGTACTCGGCCCAGAGAAAACGTGGCCGAGAGGGGGGCTTCAGGCAACAGACAAAGCAGAACTGAATGAATCACAGACGGAAAGGTGAGGCAAAACGCGGGAATGGCCTTTCCACCAGACAAGATGCGTTTTCGGAGGCAACTGATGATCGGAAAGCCGCGCCTTTCAAGCATCCTACAGAAGGGTATGGTGATTTTCCTTGGGATGATAATTTAACGTGGAATATATATATATATACACGTATATATATATATATATATATATATGCACTCATGTTTCTCCAGATGCGCAAAATGGCATCGCGTCTCAGGTTGCCAATGCCTCTGTGCTCTCCGGCGAGAGCGCGGGGCCCCGCTACGGGTCTTTCGGATAGCCAAGGAGAGCCTGGGAGACGTAGGGCTACATGGCCATGGCCAGAAGAGTCACCCCAGTTGCCCAGTGGGTTGCTTCCCTTTTTTCGCTTGTTTTGGGAAGGGTTCCCCGAAAAAGAACTAACCAGCAAAAGGATGCCCTTATTTTCCAATGGCCACTGGGAATCTGGCTACTAGGTTCAATGGCCCCATCGTGTTTCGGCTCATCAGTAAAACGATATGAGTCTTGATTTCCTTGGGTAGATTTGCTGGCCATCGGCAATTTGTGAAGAGAGACTAACAACGCCTGGCGATTTGCAGGGGTGAGCAAATGGGAGAATCGGATATGACAAGCAACTAGGGAGATTTGATCTGTCCCGCATGCACAGTGCCTGCGTGTTTCTTTTTTCTTTTCTGTTTTTTACAAGTGTTCTTTATCCTCTTGGTTTTTACTCACTGAAATCGGTGCTTTTTGTTTTTTCACTTTTCTTCCAAGCCTTGCCAAACAAATCTGGACATGTTGTTCAGCACTTGCTCCAGTAGGCTGCTAGCCTCAGAGTTGATGTCCAGCAAACGGTCCCCGACAAAAGAATGACACGCATAGAACCCCTATGTCCAGGAGAGAAAAGTCAATGGATGAAACTGGCGCTGCTGAATTGTTGGCTCGCCGAATTATACATTTGGTGAAGGACCTCCATCTTGCCGACAAAATGATCTGAGTGCTGGTTGGGTAATTGAGATCACGAGCCATGGCGATTTGCATGTGTGTCTTTGGTTTAGGGGGCCCCCACAATGGCGAGTTCCTTTTGGCTTTCCTTTGAACCAATCCAAGTGAAAAAGATAGACCCATTTCCGGCGATTGAAAGATTGCTTCGAGACCCCCCATGTGATTGCAGCTGGCCTGTTGAGCACATCTTGACATTCATTCAGAATCCAAGTAATTACATTAACACTTTGGGGATCGCGACAATGGCGGTAGCGTGTGCAATCTCTGCCAAGGCCAGTACTATCACTGGTACAGAGCGGCTTGCTTAGAGGGCGACATGTCGGATCCACGAATCCGCAAGTGTCAATCGCAGTTCGCGACGTTTGTTGTCAGTTTCTCAGGAGGGCGACAGCTGTGCAGCTTGTTGTGCTTGTTGTGCTTGTAGACTTTGATTGGCGGACTCAATGGGCACCTTGTGCTTGACAGCAATGGTTCTTGCCAAGTCGCAAATCCATTGGCAGGCCCCTAGAGGGCCAACGTGTCACAGGGGGGAGGTGCATGGGCCCCTATGCAAAGGAAGTTCGTTCTGAACCTCATCAATCCCAATGAAGCTTGGTTGCAGAAGGTGTTTAGACCGACAGTTGGCCGGAGGGCCTCTAACCTCTATCAATGGGCATTTGAAAGCAGCAAACTGGCATGTTGGTTTCGGTTGTCACGGTGGGTTCCATCTTGTTTACATCACTTTCACCCTTCGGTTTGGCAAATTCGACAACTACACCCATCCCTTTTCGGCCCTTATATTTCGTTCGGTCTTCCGGCAAGATTGACTGTACATGAAACATTCGTTGGTGTGTGTCAAAATAGGGAGGGGTCCCTCCCCCCAGGGCTGTTTTGGTCTCCCCCACCTAGAAATCGATGGGTGGCAACGGCTTAGATTGGTTTCATGCCCCATTTCCAAGTGAACCCCCTCTATTTGATCAAATTCACTTGTAGACTCACCTATGGACTCACCTAGAAAACCAGCTACCCCCCTACTCCAAATACCCACTCTTTCTAGGGTATTTGGCCGCCCGCTGGTCGCTCCCCCCGCTCAGGTCGCCTTCCTGGGCGGCATCGAGCTTCGGCAGGTCGCGGTCCGGGTCCGGGCGCGGCATCGGAGGGCTAAGCTGGCAATGCGGGGTGTGACTTTGAGGGGTTTTGGGTGGAATTGCCAAAGGAATTGCCAACGGAATTGCCAACTTCTTTTTTTGTTGGAGGGGGAGGGGGGGGGGAAACCTCAGTTTGAGACAACCTATGTGCCTCCATAGCATCATGAGTTACCCTCGAGTTACATTGTTTCATCCAACATCATGTGCCGGCAGCCTTCGAACGTGTAGTGCCACGCACGGGATCCAATGCAAGGATTGTGATTTTTGCCAAGCCAGATGGGCCAGTGCATATGTTCGATTTTGAAGCCCCATGGCACGGAAAAAGAACCGGGCGTACCAACGAAAAAAAAGAAACAAAACAGAGGTTTTTCCTTTGGTTTTCCCTTAAAAAAGGCCAAGAGGGGGAACCGACTCAAAAAAAAGACGGGACTCCAGCTGCTTCATGCCCCAAGGCCCCCGAGTTTTGTCCGGTTCTGCGCAGTCCCCGAACATCGATGCACCGCGGGTGGGCACCATGCTTGGCCGCGGGCTCGGAGCGGATACTCCTGGCCCCCAGCTTTGACCAGGGGTAACCTTTTCCCATGTGGCCGTGGGTCAACACGAATGGGATCCCATTTTGGGGTAGGTGAATTCACCACCCATTTTAGAACCTATTTTAGTGGGGATTGGGATGTTCACAGGGGGCACGGGGATTTGACTCATAGCCATGTGGGTGGGTGGTTTGCCAGGGGACCCCCAAAATGGAAAAGGCTTGGTTTTCCTTTGGGTTTCCCTACAAAACCATCCGCAAAAGGGGTAAGATCAACAAGCGACAAGCCATGTGGTGAAAGTCATCTTTGGTGTCCCAATGGTCAGCTCATGTGTCACGGACCTTTTGATCAACTCCCACAAGCTTGATCAACCCTTTCCAGGGATCCGGATCTTAGGAAATGGCTTGAAAAGCTGTTGGCCAGGAGTTGCCATAGTCAAGGGCATGCCTCACAAATTGAAGGCAGCTGTGTCAGAGGGTGACGAGAAGAGGGCAGAGGCATGGAAGGCCATTTTTATGGAGCCAGGGTGGGATTTGGGTGTGTGTGTTTCTGTTTCGGGGTCCCCCAAACGGTAAGTGTTCCTTGCGGGTTCAGAAAACACACAACACAAAACAACCAGAGGTACCAACTCCAGAAAAGCAAACTCACCACTTCCATTTACTTCATCACTCTTAACTCCCCAAGTTGACATCAACCCCCGTGGTCTCGATCTCCGAAAACGCACCCACCGCGACGCCCGGCCGAGAACAGAACGCCACCTTCGCGGCTTCCGAGGCGGCGGAATTGGGCAATAAAAAAAGGGTGTTTCTTTCCACGAGCTCGTGGCGTTCGTTTGGTATCCTCTTGGGGCGTTCCTCTGAAAACCCACATTGACTTCTTTACCTATATATATATATATGTACAGTATTTGTTCGTTCGTTTGTTCGTTCGTGCGTTCGGTCGTTCGTTCCTTCCTTCCTTCCTTCCTTCCTTCCTTCCTTCCTTCCTTCCTTCCTTCCTTCCTGTTTCTTTTTTTTTGGAGGGGGCTATTTCAAGACAACCCATGTAGGTTTCTCTGACACCCTCTCTGGTGTACTCAGAACCTTTTCCTGTGAACCACCCGCGTGGAGACCCGTGGCTTCCCTTTACCCTCTCCAGATCCACTCAGATGGGTGTTGTTTTTTGGTGGGGTACCCTTGAAAAGGTTGGTTGAAATGGACGCCAAATGGGAGTTTCTCAAAAATAAGTAACAACTCTCTTGTTCAGAATCTTGGAAGGAAACCAAAGAACCACCTTTTTCTTAGGGAATCCCTATTTTGAGAAAGCCTCAGTTTTGGACACCACCAGTTTTGGTCCCCGATTTTTGGCAAATTCCCGGAACTGGTCCTGTCGCACGTTTGCGTTGCCAGGAGTTTCCTGGGCCAGATGGGCGTGTGGGCCTTGGAAGGTTCTGTGACTAAACCACCTAGCCAGTGGGGCCCGCTGTCCAAAAAGCAGTGGTTGAGGGGTGCCGGTGTAGGAAATGGATTTGCTTCATGTTTTGTCTTCCTTTTCAGAAATGAAGCACACTTCTTCCCTCAAAAGAATTCTGTACGTCAGGAGTGAGATTGGATCACTTTACCACAGATGTCGGGATGGAAAACTGCGTTCGCCCTCCGATCAAGGAATCTACCTGCGACTAGCGGATGGACGAGGCATCGGCACTGCAGAAACTCCAGCTGTCAACTGGATGAGTGAAAGTGCTACATGGAACTTACCTCTTAAAACCACAACTTTTCAACTTTTTGGGTAACATGGGCTATATGTCTGTAAAAGGTTAACTTCCCCAATCCTTGGAGTTTTAAGGGGTAAGAGAAGTGTCCCAAAGAGGTGCCCCAAGAATGGCTTTCCTTTGGTTTTTCCGAAAAATACATGGTATCCTCGGGGGGGGGGGGGGGAGGAAAAACAGAAAAAGCGAAACCCCCGCATGTTTCACGTTAGACAGGTGTCACTTCAAAGCATGTTGTTTTAGAGTGTGTTCGTGATTCGGTCCCCATCATTGGCAGGTTGGGCGTTCGATGACAGTGCCATCTACCCGAATGACCCAGTGGTTGTGCGAGGCGCGCTCCGTCTGCCCCTTGACGGGTCCCAAAAAGGGAACACTGTGAGGGGTCCGAATTCCTTTTGGGTCGCGAAGTGGTTTCCCTTTAAACCACCATTGAGAGGGCAAGATTGAGGATGTCTTGAACTTACGAAATGGGCCCAGTTTGACTGGGGTTGGTTTTTTCTTGGGCCTTCTACGGAACTTGGTATAGCTGCGAATGGGAGAAGATGTGACGGGAGCTTGGCCTTTAGCCGCGAGCAGTTTCGCGGCACATGTGACGCTGCTGCGTAGAAATCTCCACTTTCAAACTCAGACTAGCAGGATTCCGCACGCCGTCCTTCTGACTCGTTTCTCCAAATTCACAGCATTGGCCTTGGCTCGGAAGTTTTGATAAACATGACTTTGGCACAACTTGCGACCTTCCTATGGCCGGACCTGCGCATCAAGAAAATGTACACTGTGGAGAAGTACGTGTGAATACATGCATTGTTTTCCATGTTCTGGTTGTCTGTTTCCCCACTGGACGTCCATTAAGGCGACTAGACCAGCACGCCCCTGTGTCGCAGGAGGGATTTGAATCTAGCGTTGACAGCTAGCTGGTGCGTCGAAGTGAGTATCGCATTTGGCAACCAACATGCTGGCGTATTCAAGAAGACAACAACAGTGTTCTACTGGCTGCAGCTTCAGGACGTGTCCCGATGGAAATAACGCTTGTAAGTGAGCGTGTTTGCCTTCTCGCAAAATGCTCCTTTTGCTCAGGCTGTGTGTTCTTTGAATTTCCACGTGAGCAATTGACAAATTTACTGGTAGTCCATTCCCAGCTTTGGTTAGGAGAAAGGGGTCGCACCTCAAGGGGCGCCCACTCAAATTTCAACCACAAAGAAAACTCGGACTCTTTTTTGGCAATCCACTCGGGAAGTGAGCCTCTTGGGAAGAAACCTGAATGTTTTTTCTCGTTCCGGGGCTCTTGTCGTTTTGTGCAGGCTTTTGGTCGCCGGCGTGCGGCTCAGCTGCTGGAAAGGGCTGATATCAAAGTCTCAGGGATCCGGTGACACAGACCTTTGGTGACAGGAACTCACTCCCTGAGTTCCGGAACTTAACTTTTGAAGACCATGTGGGTTTGTCTTTTTTTGGAGGTCACCCCCTTTTGGTGGTTTTTGAAGGACCACCAAAAGGAAACGACCGGTTTGGGGTCCATTAAGAAAAACACACCCATGTCAAGTGTGCTCTTTTTCTGGCTGATTCACTCAGGGAATGAAACACAAGGAAAATCCTCGGGAAACAGACCGACCTTTGGTGCCACCATAGCTTGCAGCGTCGGAACTACATCATGAGCCTTATTGGGACTGGCTTTCCGGACCGGACCTGTGAGTTTCTATCTCCGGGTAAGCTGCGACCAGAAAACATTCATGTAGAAATCGCCGCGTCGTCGAGGCTTGGGGGGTCCAGGTGCGTTGCTGGTCGCACAAGTCACGGTGATATAGCCTATAGCCACCCTCTTGGATGTCCTCAAGGACATGGCAAGATTCTGCGGCGTTTGCCGATTCTTTCCAGGGACCCTTCTTTCCAGAAAGTCGCCCATCCCAGGAACGGCTGGTTTTTTGCAACGGGCGATGGTTGTTTTGGACATCTCCGAGCGTCTCCGAGCCGGAGGACGACAGCCACGGCTTGTTTGCTGAATGTCGCTTCTTCGTAGATGCTGTTTGAACGAAACACAAACAAGCCAAGCAAATGTGCTTCTCATACGTATCACATTATGTATACTATACATATAATATAATATATATATATATACAGTATACACGAATATACATAAAAAAAAGGCACATAATGCACACAACCACATAATACTAATAATGATAACAACCATGATAATGATAATCATAATCGTAATCATAATCGTAATCATAATGAAAATACGAGGAGTAAGCACAATATCAATAACTGCAACAATCATTAGTCATACTTTGTATAAACGACAAAAACACATGACACATATGAATCACAACAATGATGATGAGCATGATAATATTCGTGTATGCATTGCAATAGGCATATGTATTTGGGCATATTATAGTGATGCTATTCATAGGTAACAATAATAGTAATACTAGTAATAATACTAAGACAAAATAATAATGATACTAGTAATGAGAATGATAGTAATCATCCCTAAACCCTAAACCCTAAACCCTAAACCCTAAACCCTAAACTTGTGTTCACATGGTACATTGGCATATGGACAACGACCTGAGATTGGGCCTGGCACTATGCCGGCCGCGCCTCCTGAGCCGAACCTCGCGGCGCGCGGAAGCCCGGCGAAGCAGTCTGAGCGAGTCTGAGGTCAGACAGGGCAGGGCGCTCCCGGCGTCTGCCCCTGGCTGAAGAAAACCACGGTCTCCCCAAAATGCCAAGGGTTTTCCTTTGGTCTCTTGGAAAAAATATTGTCAAATGTCAACCAACAGAAAGGCACGACTGTCATGATCTTTTTGTTTGGTTTTTAGACATCGCCGAAATGCTACCCGCTCTCCCACTAACATGGCAGAGCGTGCTCCAGGTACCTTCCCACAAGTGCCATGTTGGGAGGAAGGGTAAGGGTTTTCTTTCGGCCTCTTCTCAATTATCAACCAACAGAAAGTCAGCGTTGTCATGATTTCCCCTTTGGTGGTTTTAGACATCACCAAATAAAGAGGCCAATTGAAAGGAGCTTCCTCTTGGTGATGTTTGAAGGGGAAATGTAGGGAGCGCTGCCCAGACACAACCACCAATTCACATGGAACGATGACCGGGGGGTCCTGGAAGACATGTTTTTCCTTTTGAAGAGAACGAGCGGCTTGGATGCCGCCGGTGGCCTGCGTATCTGGCGTCGAGCCGAGCGGCTGGCGAAGCTTCGCGAGGTTCCATTTGTTTTTTTGAGAAATCGATTCATTGAACTTGACGTCAGTGGAGAAATCCATTTGCGAGATCATTTGGGATTCTATGACACCATGTTGGCTTGTTTTGCGGGCGTTCCAACCTGGCGAAGGGGGCCCCAGACCAACCATAAGCTTGGAGGCCAGTGTCGGTCTCATGAATGTTGGGGGACTAGTAAATCCTTGATCACTCCAAAAAGAAAGAACTTGAAACGCAAAAAATGGGGTCCCCGAAAGGGGATGCCTCTAAAATGGTCCATGTTAATCTGCAGGAGTCTTTTTTTCCAGGGTCTCATTTAACTTCAGGGGAGCACCTCGAAAGAGAATCTGCAAGGCCTATCACTGGGATTCGGGTTTTTGGGTTTAAACTCAACCTCATGGTCTGCGTAACCTCAACAGCAAATCTGGGCAAGCCCAAGAAAAAACGACACCTTCCAGGTCACTTAGCTATTGGATTCTGGTGCCAAGGCTGCAGTTGGGCGGTGCTGACCTCAGAGTTCCGCGCCGATGGGCGGATGGATGTGTTTTTTCAGGAAGGCTTTAGTGGACATTCGAGTGTGCCTTCTTGTTTCTCGGTACCCCCTCCCAAAAAAAAACTAAAAAAAATAAAGATATATATATATATATATATATTAAACAAATGATACATGTATACATACATATGTATATATACACAAACGTTGTTTCCCTATTGAATTCCCTTTTAATACGACAAACACCAGGGTAATTACTCACCCATTCGGGTATTAATTTTAGTGAGGGACCCTTGTTGCACTTCAACATTCAGTGGGTCCCGATCCATGTCCACCAAAAAGGTGGGGAGGGTGTTTCCCCATTAAAGTTCAGCAACCGGGTGAAAATCAATCCGCCAGATCCGCATGCCGGATGAGAGTTCCGCCTGTGTCTCACTGCGGATTGCGGATTGAAGATCTTTCCATGAACAAACCAGACAACTTAGTGCAGGGAGTGTGCCTATCAGCTATTAAACCCATTTGCACCATTCCAAAGCAAGCGGGACATGGTCAAGCGCCATGTCCGTGAAGCTTCCATCGGAAATCTGTCTGGAGCCGACCCGAGCAAGGATCCATATTTGCTTCCTGCATATGTTGGGTGATAAGGTGCTCATAGGATGCCACAAGTTGAGAGATTTCCAGTTGGATCGCTTTCATCTAGGAAATCCTGCTTTCAGGACATGGTCTGGCCAATACTCACTAGTCCATCAGACTCACATAGTGCAACGCTGTGCGATCCCAGCATTTTGTCCTGTGGTTTTCTTTCCTAAGCGCGAGGCTATTTGACTTAGACTCAGCGGTGTGTCAAGGCATGCATCAGATGTTTGGAAACAGAGCACGGTTATTACTTGCTGGTTCTCAGCAGGAATGAGGGAATTCTTTCTATAACCAATCCCTTGCGCGGCTTCCTTTGAGGGAATCTCCAAACGGTTCATTCCCACACCCCTGGGTAATTCATTCCCTATCGCGCCAGCAAGAACTTATCGCCACCCATTTTTGTCTCGGCAGTTTTCCTGCGCAGTGGCGAGTGAACCAGTTGTAGGCCAGGCTCCGCGAGCGACTTTCCCGCTCTCTTTTCTATGAGTCTTACATCGAGGTTGGGAGCTTGTGATCCAACTGGGGAAGTCGACGACATTGAGGCAGACATTTTTTGGGTGCGACCCGTCTGAACCCTTCTCCCAGTCTTGCGAGCTCCAAACCTTTGGTGCATGTTGCTTGGATGTTAGGAGCTTTAGCTTTTTGCCAACCAACGGGTTTTCCGAATGAAACCACTAAAAGTTAGTCACTTTTTGCAGAGCCGAAAGCAACCGAGAAACAGACGGGGCCCTTTTGGCTCGCTCGCTGGGTCGCGAGAGAATTGCGAAAAAGCCGAGGCATTGGAGCCAGAGGCCAGATGTTTTTGCGACTGGTGGCAACGGGCGAAAGGCGCTTTTTCGATGGTCTGAATAAAGGCTCGCTTAAACCCAAGGGGGGTCTCCTGGCCCACAAAAACTGGGAAAACTGGAAAGCACCTGACATAGACAGATTCTTACTTTCTCCCTTCCCTACTAAAACTAGGTCCCCCAGTAGTGCCCTTTCTCACCCCTTTCTTGGTTCGGAGGGTTACCCTACTAAAATAGACTACAGAGAAAAGTTGGTACCCTTATTCTAACCTCTCTACTGGAGGACCTAGGTAAAGGTTCGTTTAAACCTCAGGAGGGTACAGTTGGGTGATTTGGTAGATGGCACAAGGATAACCCAATTGGATTTAGTCCCCTGAACTTGCCCACATACAGGAATCTGTGCCATCTTGAAAGTCTTGTTTGATAGCTTCGACAAGACTCTCCAAGCTACTTTATGAGTTTGTGTCTCGCAAAACGTGGAGAATGCGAGTCTAATCTTTCTCAGTGAGATGTCGGTTCCACTCAGACTCAGCTCTCAAAATAGGAAACTCCTAAAACTTTTGGGCAAGGTTGATTTTTAATGGGTCCCAGACTCTGTGGACATCACAATTGGGTGGGTCCCGAAAGAATGTCCACCAACCACTTGTGAAGTGGCTTCCATTTAAACATCATAGCTATGTGGGTGCTTCTCAAGATAAGAGGCGCCCCAAAATGGGTTGCTTCCTTTTGGCTTCCCTTTGAATACCAGCTAAAAGGGGGTCAAAGAGGGGGATCTAAATGAGGGGCCCTTTGCAGCTTGGATTGAGGGGCCATGTGGATCAGTGCTTTTGTTGGGGCCTTGTTGAAATGGAAACCAAAAGAACCACCAAAAATCCATTGTATGAGTTCCCGTGTCTCCAAGTGAACTCTTAGTGTCTAAGAAACTAGACCACGGTTGGCCCGAAAGCAGAACATCGCAAGCGAGGTCGGCCCAACGCTGCAGGATGCGTTCTTTTTCCCTACACGAAGCATCTGTGAAGCAAGCGCGAGACAGCACCAGGCAAGGTGCTCTGCGCAAACTGGTCGGTGCAAGTTGGTCTGCGCAAGTTGCTCTACGCAAGTTGCACTGTGCAAGTTGCTCTGCGCAAGTTGCTCCGCGCAAGTTGCTCCGGCAAGTTGGTCCCTGCAAGTGGCTCCCTGCAAGTTGCTCTGTGCAAATTGCGCTCCCTGCAAGTTGCTCTGTGCAAGCTGCTCTGTGCAAGTTGCTCTGCGTAAGTTGCTCTGCGCAAGTTGCTCAAGCTCTGCGCAAACTGGTCGGTGCAAGTTGGTCTGCGCAAGTTGCTCTGCGTAAGTTGCTCTGCGCAAGTTGCTCTAGGCAAGGCGCTCTGCGCAAACTGGTCGGTGCAAGTTGGTCTGCGCAAGTTGCTCTGTGCAACTTGCTCTGCGCAAGTTGCTCTGCGCAAGTTGCTTTAAAATGCAAGTTGCATCTTGCGACGCCCGCCCGCGGACCAGGGAGGAATCGAACCCGCGACCCGCCGGTTCCGGGAGCAGGCGCGCGAACCACGAGACAACTCCCGAGGACCAGTTCGAACAACAAAAGTCGCAACAAACCTTGAGTTTTTGCACCTCGACCACGCCGATCCCCGCAGAGGGTTGCGCGAGCACCGCAGAAATCGCAAAAAACCTCGAGTTTTTGCACCTCGACCACGCCGATTCCCGCAGAGGGTCGCGCGAGCAGGTTAAACATCGCAAAAAACCAAGGGTTTTTGCACCTCGACCACGCCGATTCCCGCAGAGGGTCGCGCGGGAACTTTAGAAATCGCAAAAAACCTCGAGTTCTTGCACCTCGACCACGCCGATCCCCGCAGAGGGTTGCGCGAGCACCGCAGAAATCGCAAAAAAAAAACATGGGTTTTTGCACCTCGACCACGCCGATCCCCGCAGAGGGTCGCGCGAGCAGGTTAAACATCGCAAAAAACCATGGGTTTTTGCACCTCGACCACGCCGATCCCCGCAGAGGGTCGATTTTCGTGTAGTGTACCCCGCCGCCCTAAGAAGAGATTTTAACTCCTCGCAAGTCAATTGCACTTGACTCCTTGCACTTGCAACTTGCACTTGACTCCTTGCTTGTTTCAAGGAGTCATTGCAAGGAGTCATTGCAAGGAGTCATTGCAAAGAGTCATTGCAAGGAGTCATGGCAAGAAGTCATTGCAAGAGTCATTGCAAGGAGTCATTGCAAGGAGTCATTGCAAGGAGTCATTGCAAGGAGTCATTGCAAGGAGTCATGAGAGCCATTGCAAGTTGCAAGGAGCCAAGTGCATGGAGTCAAGTGCAAGTCGCAAGTGCACGGAGTTAAGTGCAAGTTGCAAGTGCAAGGGGCCAAGTGCAAGGAGCCAAGTGCAAGGAGCCAAGTGCATGGAGTCAAGTGCAAGTTGCAAGTGCATGAGAGTGCAAGTTGCAAGTGCAAGGAGTCAAGTGCAAGTTGCAAGTGCAAGGAGTCAAGTGCAAGTTGCAATCCTTGCCATGACTCCTTGCAATGACTCCTTGCAATGACTCCTTGCAATGACTCCTTGCAATGACTCCTTGCAATGACTCCTTGCAATGACTCCTTGCAATGACTCCTTGCAATGACTCCTTGCAATGACTCCTTGCAATGACTCCTTGCAATGACTCCTTGCAATGACTCCTTGCAATGACTCCTTGCAATGACTCCTTGCAATGACTTTCATGATGATGATTCCTTGCAATGACACCTTGTAATGACTCTCGTGAGAACAACTCAAGTGAACCCAGCGGAAGAACCCTTCGCCATGCTTTCGGGAAAAAAACAGAGCAAACCAGCCAATCCTCATCCACATGGATGTGTCTTTTAAAGGTCCCCCCAAAAAGGATTTGCGGGTTTCCTTTTGGTTTCCCTTTCAACCCATCCCCCCAAAAAAGAGGTAGAAGTACCTTCCGCCTCAAAGGAGCGAGCGAGACGGGGGGAGAGAGACACCACCAACCCGCCCGCTCGAGCCGCGCGGGTGAGGGCCCCTGGACCGCCCGCCCTCCACGGCGCCCTACTACGGCGGCCTGGGGCCGCCGCCGGGGCACCTGCCGCCCGGGGCGCACCCGCCCGGGTCGCTGGACGCCGCGCCGGGAGGCGGGGGGCGATTGGTGCAAATTGGGGACCGGTGACCGGCGGTGACCGGGAACGGAACTTGGGGCGGCTTGAAACCGGGAGACCCGGGGCAATCAGATTGGCGTCCCTTGAGAACCGCCAAAGAAGCCACACAAAATGAGGGTGAAAGAAGGACACACCCACTTGTGCAAGAAAAAGGAGGTGCTGATAGGCAGACGTGCCGTCACCGGTGTCCAGGTTGTCCCATTTGTGGTTTCCCAAAGTTGGTCTAAGTGTTGGCTTCCCTTCTTCTGTGTCTTGACCAGCATCGCCTTAAATCATGGGTTTATCTTCTGGAGAGATAAGCCACCCCTGGGGTTTAAGTTTATCTTGAAACCACATGGAAGCCGCAAGGAAAGGCATACTGGGGGGAAACGGTTAATACTCAGCAAGTTTGTCACCAACGAACCATGGGAATTTGGCCTGGATTGAGTCTTACAAAGATGAATGCAGCGCAGAAACCGAACTGGTTGCGAGGTTCTGAGATGGTTTCCACTAGCTTCCTAAACTGCTGGAATGGGATACCCGGTTTTCGTTTGGTAGTGGTGTGGGGATGGTAGTAGGTGTTGGGGAGGGACCAACTGGCGCGAGAGTCCCTCCCGGCACTTGGATCGCGATCCAAGCAGACACTGCATCGATCCAAGACCTTAAGCTCCAACGTAGCCGGCCATGTTCAAAATTTGGGCCGGCCATGAAGCCATGGTTCAATTTTGAGCCATACGAAAATCATTGTTTCATCTTCCCTTTGGGTGTGGATCAACATTTCTGAGCCAGGGCAAGCCCGTCATTTTGTCATTGTCCATTTGCCAGGGCATGCTGAGAGCTTTTTTGTAGCAGCTATTTGCTTATAAGAACTGTTTGCTTCAGGATATGTTGTATTTTCCCGTGTGGTGTTAAAGGGAACCTATCACTATTGGACTTGACTTTTGCTTTCTCCGGGGGGTTCCAGTAAATGAAGGCAATCCTTATCCCAGAGGGTCGAAGTAGCGTTTGAGGATGGTGTCTTGGGGGTTTGGGGGCATACCCTGGAATGCGCTTCCCTGTGCGTCATGGTCCAAACCCAAACACCTTTTGACTTCGGAAGAGGGCCATGAGAAGGAATTCTAAGGGAAGCATGGTGGTTCGCGCACAGGGCCCGAACCATGGCGCAAAAACAAGAAGTGGTTTCCCTGGTTGTAGCCCCACTCGCTTCGAGATCGGGGGATGGCGTTCGTGTTTTTCTTTGCCGGACCAAAAAGGTCCTATATCCCAAGTTGTGCTCATAGCGCTTTGCTGATCCGTGTAGCCAAAGTCTATTTTGTTTGAGAACTCGGTGGTGAATGGATGATACTTATACAGCACAGGATTGGAGGCGTTACTTTCTATTCACGCGGAGTGCCAGGTGCCAGGTCCAAAGCTTGTCAGCGGGGATGTCTCTCTCTTCAGAGGGGTAGGGAACCAATGCACAGGTGGAGGAAACCCATGAAAGTGACAGATTCTATCAGGGCTCCTTGAAAGATACCTTTTGCCCAATTGAAACATGTTGCTTTTTCAACACCAAAATAAAGTTGGACGCCACCATTTACAGGGCAAGGTTCAGGTATGTAAGGATCCCTGTCTAAGTTTGGCTGTGTCTCACATGTCTTGTCGCGACTTCCTCTTAGCGCCTCCAAAGGAATTGGATTTGAAGCTTTGGAACGCGAAGGGAAGCCAATCATTTGAAGATCCCTTTGCTTGAGCAACATATGGGAGTCTCTGTTTTTTGGGGCAACCTGTTTCTTGTGTCATTTTTTGGTTTACCTTTTAACCAACAAAGAACAAGTAGAAACAAGAAGGGTCCCTTAAGACATGCACGGACACTCACACACCCATAGGTTCTTGCAGTTCCCTTGACACCCGCAGGCGCCCAACCAAAAAAACCAAAAAACAGAAGGAGCAACAGCCGGTGCTCCATTTCCCCGGCTCGCTGGCCGTGCCAGGCACCCCCTGGGTACTGGACCTGGGCAACGGCGCCCTGCCAGGCGCGGTTCGATTGGTGTGGAGGTTTGGTGCTTTGGGCGTTCCAAGGAGTTGGTGCCAAGAAATTGGCCGGTACTTGGCTGAAGGAGCCATTTTGGGTCCATGTTTCTGGTGCCAAGCCCATATTTTGTTCGGCTGAAGGAGCCGCAGCTTCAAACAAATCCGCATCCTCAGGGGCACCTGAAACATTTTGACCTTACAGAGGACAAGTGGCAGGGCCAGGTTTCTCCGGAGAGGTGCGCAACGAGAACTAAACCTCGCGCTGCCCCTTGCCTGCTTCCATGGCTCGGCATCTGGCGCTGTTGGACTGTAGCCTTGGTGCATGTCCAGGCCTTGCAGTGCCATCCCAATCAAGCCTCTCAAAGGGGTCGGTGGATTCGGCACCAAGTGCATGCTGACAACTTAGACCGTTGTCGGGGTGGGTGGGTTGGTTGCTTTGCTTCGTCGGTTTCGTCAGTGCGGCATGCGGGCCCATACGGCTGTCTTCGGTCTCACTGCCGTTCCGTTGCCGGGAGTTCGGCGACCCGGGGCTCGCGGGAGTTCTATGGTCTCAGGTTTCGGAAGACCACGTTGGTGAGAGAGGATCCCTGTGGTTCAACTCCCACTCCAAAGCACGACTGAGGGGTGACCTGAACCAGTTTTTCGTGACAGAGGATCCCACTTGAACTTCCAGGTGCACTAGGAGAGATGGAGGAAGGGTAGCAAGGCCCAAGCCAAATTGAAGCACAAGTATCTCAACAGCCCGAACCCTTCCAGAGCCTTCCCTGAAAGCTGCTCCGGGCAACGACCCCAAGCTGCCAGCTGGATAATAAAGAAACAAATCTCCCAAATTGGGACAGCACCTACGTCGAGATGAACAACACTTGGTCCGAGGTGAAACCACTTGGGTAAGCCCCCCAAGCGTCTCCATTCCCCAGGTTTCGACCAGACTTTCGGTTCCCCGGTTACCCCCCCCCCCCCCGGAGAAAAACAAAAAAGCGAAGCGCACCAGACTATCGCCCAGGCGAGCCGCGGCGTGAGTTCGACCGCGCGCCCGGGGGCCTTGGCCTCTTTCCATGAGGTCCACGTCCGAAGGGCACGCGACGAGCACGCGAGTGGCCGGATTGCACAGGGCAGTGATGGCAGTCCAAGCGACTTTTTTCCGTTGGCTATGAGTTGATGCAATGTGTATATGTTTTGGCCATGGGTCGCTTCGTTTGTTTGGCCGGTTGATTCTCTTAAAAATCATTGAGGCGCAACTACTTGCAACACTTTGAAACTTGACAAGGGCCGTCAGCTTATTCACTGCGCTTCCGTGCCAAAGTTAGAGCGAGACAAGGCAGCGAAGAGTGGCCGTTACAGCCGCAACTATGTCCGTTTGCAAACCCAGGCGAACGAGAAAAACAAGCAATGTGGGTGTGTCTGTTTTTTGGGGAACCTCCCAGACTGGTGATTTACCTGTTGGCTTTCCTTTTAAACCACGAAAAGAGGGTATCCTCTGAAACGACGCACCCAAATGCGCTTGGCTCTTTGCGGAGACGGGGGGCGGATTTCGGCGGGGCAGACCACTTGCTGCATAACTTGCACGGCGCAATGCATTTGTTGCTCTGTCGTCCGAGGCTCCAAGGCTCAAGCGGTGCATCTCCGCGCAAGTTGGGCAGTCGCATATTTTTTTCCAATGAAGGCGTCAAGGTGTTCGGGATGTCCGGGGGGCCCAGTCAAGTTGAGGGGTTCTCCGTGGCGCGAATCTGGCAACGCCGAGCAGGGAGAAGATGGCGCTGCTGGCGCCTTTTTTTTAGAGAGAGAGAGAAAGGGGGCGCGAAAGGAGCAGGTATTCCTGAGGCTTGGATTCGTGATGGGATTGGAACCCTTGGCAAACGGCCCGGGCTCCAAACCAAGAGTTCGAAGGAAGCGGAAGGCAGACCTTCGAGCGTGAGCGTCGCTGTCGCCAGGTGGAAGTGGCGAAGGCTGTGCGGTCGCAGCTGATGAGGCATCCGCTGAACATGGCCAAGCCGCCCAATGAGGGGTGTAACCCTTCATTTGGTTTGCCGGGGGGGGGCCTTCCCTTCAACGTCAACTGCGAAGAAGAGCAACAAAACAACTTAAAACACATGGTGAGTGCCCGGAGGCGATTTTTTGGCCATGGCTAGATACTGGGCTGTGATTTTGTGAGCTGATGATTTGTTCATGTGCCCAGCCGTTTGGTTCAGACAATTTTCGACAGTGGAGTACAGAATCGTGATCCCTGGTTGTGTATTCGCCATGCCGGTATTCAGCAAGATGTCGAGGAGCCGCACAACGGGTGTGATGCTGGCCGGGGGAGTGGCGACTCTGTTGGCCCCAGCGTTCGTTGCCCCCGGAGTGCCCCGCGCTGAGGTCAGCACAGTGACTCAGACCTCTCAGATGGCTCAAGCCGCCCCCGTGCGGTCCGAGCCAAGTCTTACCGCAGTGGCCGGCGTGGCTATGGCGGGTGCGGCTATGGCCGCAGGTGCCGCAGGTGCCCGGGGTACTCGTCGGGCCAAAGGCCGCACGGTTGTCGCTGCGCAACCCATGGGCCCAACGGAGGGGCAGCCCATGGAGGGGCCTCAGTTGAGCAAGTTGACCGCCCTTGCCCAAGAGCTGCTGCAGAAGCCCTCGCCCCAGCAGCTGCAGCGCCTGGTGCTCGAGCTCCGCAGCTTCGCCGCTGCAGAGCTGCAGAGGGCGCACGCGGCCCCCGCGCGCCGGAGCGCCTTCGCGGAGGTTGCGGAGGGCGCGGAGCAGGCGCTGCGCAGCGGCGTGGAGGGCCAGCTGCGGTGGGCCGCCAGCGCCGCGGCAGCGATGCTCCTGAGCAACGTGGTGACCCTGCAGCCAGCACAGGCGGCCGAAAAAAAGAACAAAAGGAAGGTTGGGCCTTGTTAATTTCGTGTCTAAAGTTCAAAGGACTGGTTTAGTCTATCTGATCTCCTTGCTGCCCTTTTGAACTGGCCCTTTACACAACTGGCTCCTCTTCCGGAGGCGGCGGATGTGGTGAACTACTCCGAATTCCTGGAGTCGGTGAACCGGGGAGATGTGGAGATGTTCCGGGTGCAGGAGGATATGCTCTCTGCGCAGTACACCACCAAAGACGGCTCCCGTCGTGAAGTGAACCTCATTCCCAACGCGCAGATCGAGGATCAGCTCTTCAATCAGCTAGCGGACAAGAAGGCCAGAGCTTTGGCCGTGGCTGTTCAAGACACTTGTTCAATGGCTCTGCGTTTGCGACGAATCCTGTAACGCATGATGTCGCAAATCACAAATGATGTCAACACGCCCGTTTCATGGGCACAGACCCCGTCGTTACGATGCTTTTGCCTGGGAGCGTCTTAACATAGGGGTACACAATCATATATTATATTAGTTTCTTTGGGTTTTCCCTTCAAAGCCACTCCAACAGGAGTACCCTCAAAAAAAGACACACCCTTGTGTACCATGCCCGCTTGCGTTAGTCAACCATCCACGGACCTATGGCCATGGCTCATAGAGTTTTGGCTCGTGGCACTTCCCGAGATGTCTGTCAGGTTGACGTCGTGGTGGGGACCAACCAGCAGGCAGGCCCTTTAATAGGTTTCCCATTTTAGATTGGGGGACGCAAGCGTCAAACGACCTCCTTTTCGGTTTCTCCTGTTTTATGGACCTTGTTTTGTAGGGGGCCCGAAACAGGTCAAACCACATTTGTTTGGTTTCGCTTTTTGTGAAAGGCCCAAAACAGGGTAAAACAAATAATAGCAGCTGAGGTTGGTTTCCTTTTGGTTTCCTGAAAAGTGACAGAGGATCTCTATCTTGAGAACCAACCGTCCATCCAACCTCATATGCAACGTGGATCCTTTCAACGATTCTGCATAATTTATGGCAGGCTCACCTGGGGGTAAAACGAGCTCATCCTGGTAACACATCTTTTATTCGGTCCAGTTTTTTGATTTACTGTACAATTTGCAGATAAGATTGGTTGGTTGAGAACCCCCCCCCCCCGCCCCAGTGTTTTGCAACCACATCCTGTTTCACCGCTGGATCGCGGTGGTTGGGGCTTAGTTTGCACGGTAGTGGACACCATCTCTTGAGAAACGCCCAATCAACCCGAAACGAATTCGCCACGAACCACCAAACCCACTGTAAACAAACCGTATACGAACCCTGAGCCCTTAAATCAACCCTACCCTAAGTCAACCCCGAACCATCACTTGTCCAAAGCCGACCTCTTGACAATCAAGGTTCCAAAAGGAGGCCACCTCTGATATTCAAGCTCTTTGGGCGAGCACACCTCCTTTTGTTTTGCACCTTCATTTTGTGGCAGATTTCCCATCAACAAATGCATTTTACTGGTGGTTTCCATTGAAACTGCCACTTTTGGTTCCGCAAAGGGAAATGGAGGAAACCCTGTGTGGTTTCCTCTTAAACCAACCCCAAAAGGATCAAAGCAGCCCATTTTGCCACCTTAAAGCCACTTTACACCAACTAAACCCACCCTAAATCAGCCCCCCCCCCAACCCCAAGTCCCAAACAACCCCTCTACAAACCCTACACCCACCCCTAAACCCACCCCACACCCCACCCGCAACCTGCGTTTTTTTTACCCAACAGCTGAAAGCTTTGGGGTCTCAGCCCAGATAGGCTCCGGGGTGGTCCGGGGGGCCCTGAGGTAAGGTTCCACGACATTTCCATGAGGGTTCCACCAGGGTTCCACCAGGATTCCACCAGGGTTCCACGAGGTTCGGCGAGGTTCTGCGAGGGCTGCGGAGTGCGAGCACCAAATAGCGCACCGCATGCTGTTGGTGATGTCACCTGAGCTTTTGTTGTCCTTTTCGACGTTTTTTTTTTGGTTGTTTTTTTTTTTTAACGGAGGCCAGTCCCTTGGACTTCCTGCGGCGCTTCGCGGGCCCCCTGGCCTGGCTGGTGGCGGGGCTCCTGCTGCTCTTCGGGGGGCCGTTGGGCGGCGCGGCCGGGCCCGGCGGCGGCCCAGGCGAACGGTTGGACTTTGGGACGAGACTGGGGCACTGGGGGGGGGGGAAGAGGGTTCCAACAAGGGAGGGGGGGGGGGGAAGGGGGGGTTCAAAGGGCGTGTCCAGGGGGGGGCTGATCCAAGCAGTGTGTCCAAGCGACTGTTGAATGGAATCAGCTTGCGCCACGTGCAGTTGATTTTGGATTTCGGGCTTGGCTTTGTTTTGTGTCTTCTTTTGCGGGTACCCCGTTTCCAGGAGGAGAACCGCCGCCATTTGGGGGGGGGGGTGCCCCAAGAAAAGGAGACACCCATAGCGCCGCGCAGGTGGGAACCCCTTTGAGTTGGGCAAAGCCAAGGCGCGTGGCTTGGCATCAGTTGGCAGGCAGGGCTTGGCCTTTGAGCCCAGGATCTTGGGGTTTTTTGGCGGTGCTTTCGTGCAAAGTGTGGCACGCAGCTCAGAGCCACAGCAACATCTCAATGAAGTCCCATCAACAGCAAGAGATTGGAATGGCCCCATCATCAATTCAGGCAACCCCGAGATGCCGGAGCAAAGGCAGGAGGAGCAGTGTTGCAGTATCGACAGTGATCGCCTCCGGTTTCCATCATCAGCGCTCCAAAACAACTTCCGAACTTTCGGCAGAACGCTTGACAAAGTTCATATGCGACGTATCCAGAGATCGTGGAGCTGAGGTATTGCCAAGGACGGAGAGACGGGCACCAAGTTTGCGGACGTCGCCGGCTGCGACGGCGCGAAGCAGGAGTTGGTGGAGGTGGTCGACTTCCTGAAGAATACCTCCAGGCCGAATCGCCACTTTTGCGGCGCGATTCGATTCCACCTTGAGGGTTCGAAGTTCCGAGAAAAATCGTCAGGCCCTCTTTCAACTCTTTGCCCATTTTGTGGTTTCGTGGGGTTTGGGGTACAGGGTGTCATGGTGTGTCATGGTTTTTGGCATCATGGGGTTTTGGGGTAGAGGATACAGGTGTTTTTTTTTTGAGGGGACCCCCGAAAATGGCGGGTTGGGACCTGTGAGATACTCCGAGCTGGGCGCGAAGATCCCCAAGGGTGCCCTGCTGGTGGGCCCCCCGGGCACTGGCAAGACCCTGCTGGCGAAGGCCGTGGCCGGCGAGGCGAGGAGAAGCCTGGGCCGAAACAATATGGATGGGGCACTCAAAGCCGTTTTGGGATCCCATTTTGGGATGTTTTCGGTGAATTCACCACCCATTTTAGGACCTGTTTTAGTGGGGAGTGGGATGTTCACTGGGGTTACGGGATTTTGGCATGGCCATAGGGGGACTCAAAACCCAGGCAGTAAGGATGAGTATATGGTTTGGATTGGTGGCTTGGGGATGTGAAGCCCTGGTTCTTGTAGAGAGTAAATGGGGAATAACCCCCTAATAGTAAAGGTTAGCATACGGGTGTTGTTTGCTTTCGGTTTCCTATTAAACCCACCCCAACCACTATTTTGAGAGGCCCCTATTTAAACTTCCACCAACCGCAAAGTCATTTGTATTCCATGTACATTACAGATAAACGCGTGTCTTAACCGTGGCTCAGCGAGGAAAGTTGAGCGCAGAGCCGCCCACAAACATCACTTGCCAATAGCACAATCGCAGAGACGGGATGAGCTGTGATGCTTTGGGCAACTGCCTCGGTGTGCCCACGGCCGGCCGTGTTCACAAGTCAACACTCATGAAACTACAAAACACATCCTTGGCTGCCGCGCAAAGCTATGCTGAAGATAGAGCTCTCAGAAAAAAAGCCACGGATTTTGCTTTGACGAGCTCCTTCGAAGCATTAGAGTTGGAGTTGGAGCAGTTTAATGCATGTATCGCCAACGCACGTAGGTATACACATACTTTGCACATGCAAACATATACACATTAATCCACTCAGAGATAAATATGTACACGCATGTCTGCACCAGTGTGTATACATGTCTATCATCACATCCCATCCAGTCAGAGCGCTCAGACTGGTGTCTGCAGGCGGGGGTGCCGTTTTTCAGCATCGCGGCCTCGGAGTTTGTGGAGGTCTTTGCCGGGGTGGGCGCTTCGCGGGTGCGGGACCTCTTCGAGCAGGCCAAGAAGCGCTCTTGGCTGCAGCCTGGGGCCGGGGGTGGTGTTGGGGGTGTTGGCTGGTTGATCAATGCAAAAACCAGAAGCTCTTGTTCACTCTTTTGTCTACAAACTAGGGACTTGGCTCTTGCGTTGGACGCATCTGTCTCAACCCGCAACAGTTCGACATGATTTCCCTAGTGCACTGCACAACTTGCCGTGTTTCGCTTGGGCGGCAAAGCTAAGGTCTGCTCCTTGCATCATTTTCATCGATGAGATTGATGCCGTTGGCCGGCAGCGCAGTGCAGGCTTCGGCCAAGGCAACGATGAGAGGGAGCAGACTGTAAACCAACTGCTCACGGAGAGCCTTGCCTAAAAGTTTAGGCGATCCTTCTTCCAAGGTGTTTTCCCTCGAAGGTTTGTTCTTACAGAATTTGACCTGCGTACATGGTCTTGCCTTTGGGCAAGATGCGTCTGTACCGCAGTGTTTCAGTGTGTCGAGTGTTTGCCCAGTGTCGAGCTCAGTTTGCCGCGCGTTCCAGTGTCAAGTGCCGAGTGGCCAGTGTTTCAGTGTCGAGCGCTTGCCCGGCGTGTGTTCCAGTGTTGCGCAGAGCCCAGTGTTGCCCAACGTTGAGTGTTCCAATGTCAAGTGTTAAGGAGGGCATTGAATGCGGCACTCCCTCTAGCTTTGCTTGCTCATGGACTTGCAATCTCGGGCGTTTGGGTGTGTCCGGGTCAGACGGTCACGGGAGTGCAACTGAGCGCTGCCATGCTTGTGTTGAACTGTGCGATTGAAGCCAACCCACGACGGTTTTGTGGGGAAAACCAGAGCAGTTTCGTAGTAACAGATGCAAGGAGGCCCCGCTGGGCCCTGTGCTCATCTTTGGAAGCAGTTTTGATTTGACTCGTTGCGTGGCCGACAAAACCGAGAGAATCCATGGCCATGGCCGAGGTGATAGTTGGCCAATGTCAGTCGTACAAACACCTCAGCCTGAGAACTGAACTCAGACCAGATCCTACGCTTTGTTCAGCTGGATGCTGGCTCCAGCTCCAGGTGAGCCGTATTGTGTCAAGGCATGGAATTATGAACTAGCTAGAGTTTTCTTGGAGTGCGACGGCTTTCTTGCCCTGTTCAATATCATTCCATAGTGACACCCAACCATGAAAGAGAAGGGCAGACCCTTTCTAAGGCTCTAAACGGTGATGCGTCATAACAAGGGGAGCCATTGCAGCCTCATCGCTCCAGGTGTTTTAGTGACATACGTTCCGGCCTATGGACCCTTCAGGGCCCTCCCCTTTTCAAAAGCTGATTGTATGAAGCCATTTATGCACCTGTTGCCCTTTAGGCCTGTTTGGTAGATTGTCTACTGAGAGACTATCATTCGCGGACCGACTTCACCAACAAACTGGGAGTTCATTTCTATAGGGGATCATGTTTCTTTGGGTGCACCAAAAAGTCGCCATTGAAATCTGTTGGGTGCAAGACAAAAAAGATCGCTTTTTTGAGTTTCTTCGGCTCAGCTCGGGCTCGGGGGACGTTCGCGTTCGGTCGGAAGCTGTGAGGATGGACGGCTTCGAGGCCAACAAAGGTGTGGTGGTCATTGCCGCCACCAACCGCGCGGACATCCTGGACCAGGCGCATACGCCGTCGGCGGGTTCGGCGGGGGTTTCGCGGCGGCTGATGATCAGAAGTGCGTGTGTTGTTTTGGTTGAAGTGGATTGTGTTTTTGGATTTTCCCGAGGTTGGTTTTGAAAGGGAATGGACTTCACTAGTGGACATATGATCTCATATTTTTCAAGGGGTTGGTAGTAAATGGGAAGTCGGTATTCCAGGGACGTGGTCGTGGAAAATGGGGTAGGGCCACTTTCTTGTTACCAAGAGAATACCCTTCAAAGAAGGACGTAGTCATAGGGATGGACAAAAGTACACAACCATGCCCAGGCAAGGTCAAGGGGGGATTCCATGAGCCGAAGGCGGACACTTGGATCCAACTCATGGCAGCTTCTTCTGTCCAAGTCGTCCCACAAACCGCGCCTAGCTCAGCCATTGTGGGACTTGCTTGTGGGCTTGACCAAAAACATGGCCGCTGTGTTCTGCCCCGCTGGGAGGTGGCCAGACGTTGTGGCTCACTTGGATATTCCTGCCGGGACAGCACAAAAAAGCAACAACAACAAAACAAAACAACAAAAGCAAAACAACAAACAACAAAAACAGACCAAAAACAAACAAAAACCAAACTGAGGGCACCTTCTTGAGCTTGTTGTTTTCGGGAAAGCAAAGGGACACCACCCATGTCTTCAGGCTAGCAACCAACTTATGGACCCCGGATACTGCCAGACTGCCAGGCGCTGGTGCGACCTGGCCGTTTCGACCGTCAAATCCAAGTGGATCCCCCAGACGTTCAGGGCCGCACGGCGTCTCAGTTGCACACTGGATGGGGTGCTGGATCCGAGGGAAATATGCATAGCAGCCGATCAGCAAGAGTGACGCTTCCAGAACAGTTTTGTGGGTTCCCTCAAAAGGGGACATAACACACAATACTGTAATATATATATATACACATATATACATATATATATATACACATACATATGCATGTTTATATTTATATATGCACATGTAGTGTACATCTCTATATGGAATTAGCATTTGTCCGCAGATGGGCTCTTTCAAATAGGCAACAGCGCCTTGCCAAAAACCAAAAACACATGTCTGAACTGTGGTGTGGCTTGGCTTGGGCGACTTGGTGACATCCTGCAAAAGCAAGTTTTTGAGCCCTCATTCCGAGGAGATCCTCAAGGTCCATGCCAAGTCCAAGAACTTGGCACCAGGATCGATTCGCGGATTCGGAGGGTTTGGGGTGGAGGGCTTGGTTTGGGGGCGTTGGAAGTGGTCGGGGACCACCCAAGGATGTGGTCCTGTTCAAGTTTGTTTTTGTATGTCAACTTGTTGACACTGATTTCTCGAAATTCACATCTCGGTGTGGTCGGGGTGCAAAGCTTCCTATCTCAATACTGCCGCTTTTGTTTCAATGCAGCCAATCAATCGGCGGCTGCCCAGGAGTTTTATAGATGCTGAGAGACCAGCCTCCTTTCGCCACGCACCCTACGACAAAGAACCCCTCAAGGGTCCCTGGAGAACAACGGCTTTTTAGGGGCCTTTCTGTCTGATTCCATGGGTGTGTCTTTGTTTGGGGAAGCCTCTTTGGGTTGGTTTTAAAGAGACCGACAAGGAAAAAACACAAGTTTGTGGGGGTGCCCTAATAAAAGACACAGGTTGGTGGAAGGGTACGGTTTTCAAGCGCAGCCTGCTTCTTGTGGTACACATGTCTTCGCTGCTCCTGGAAGAGGTCGCTTTGTATCATTGCTCCCAAACCAGGCGGCTGGCCCGCCATGCTGCACGTCTCCATGTCACTTCCATCAGCATCCTTGCACCGGTTGCCTTTGCTGATGTACAGCAGCGCAATGGTCAATACAAGCAAGATGACGTGGGGCACACTGAAAACACCTCGAGGATATGGGGCTTCGCCAAAAAATCATGTCACATTTCTTGGACAGGGGATGCTTCGCAGCTTCCTGACCACTTGTCTCAAAGGATCTTTGAAGGTGCCACGCCTTTAATGGAAATGAGGGACGGGGTGACTGGAGTTCCCACCAGCTCAAAGCGTTGGGGACCCGACCCCCTTTTCTGCAAGACTAAACCTTGCAGCCTGACCTTTTGGATTTCCTTCGTCCCTTTCACCAGTGTCATTCTGGATTTCCGAAATCTTCTTTCCTTCATCTTCCCTTTCGCCAGCCACAGTCTGGATGTCCAACCCCTTCAAATCTTTCCCTCATCTTCCCTTTCACCAGCCACATTCTGGATGTCCAGCCCTTTTTTCACCCTTTTGTATTTCCTTCATTCCGCACTTGCGGAGATTCTGGCTCCAACGCTCCCACCTTCCAAGCTGCAAAGCTTCAGAGGCGTGGATCTCACGTCCATCGCCCGGATGACCCCTGGCATGTCCGGCGCGGACTTGGCGAACCTGCTGAACGAAGGCGCCATCGTGGCGGCGCGCCAGAACAAGCGTCTTGGACCAAAATGCTTCGAGGTTTGGGACCAAGAAGCTTCGTTTTTTGTTTTTGTTTTTGTTTTCCAGAAGAAGAGGGACCTTGAAGCTTCGCCTTTTTTTTGTTTTGTTTCTCTCGGTTTTTTTTTGTTCTCCCCCTTTTGGTTTCTTCTTTTTTTCAGAAGAAGAGCTTGCCATGATCACCGGCATTGTCAGCAGCATCATTCCGCAAACCAAAAATGCTGTCTTTGTCAACAGCATGATTATTTGCATTGCCACTGGGTTGTCGCTGTCCTCGGAAATGCCCTCTTTGAGACCGTCATCGCCTGGGAGCCAATCTTGCTTCTGATCTCTGACAGCCAAAGATCATTGCCGTAACCCCTCAGACGACCCCTGAACGCACAGAGGGATGGTTGGTGTAGATTTGGAATTCAGCTCTTGACGCTCACTCAGGACTGAGATTGACCAGGACGACATCGCGAACGCTCTGGAGAGGATCGCCATCGGTTTGGAGAAGAAGGATGTCACCTGGCTGCGCAAAAAACGGGGTGCTGGGAGTATTCCTAAGATATGTTGATTGGTAGACTTGTTGCAGTGCCTTGGGTGCCTGGGTGGTGTTGCTTATTGTCAAGTTAGAACTTGTTTGTTACGCAGCGACATGCGGCCAACGGAACCTGAACATCGGCAGAAGTGCATGTCCCTCACACCCCCTTTTTTTCCTTGGCCATGGGACCTTGCAATATGTGCCCGACGAATCCCTCTCATCTGGGTTTCGGTTTTGTCAGTGCGGGGGGGTGGGGGGCTTCGTCTGATGCTCAAGCCCCAGGCAGTGATGAGTGAGAAGAAGAAGCGGTTGGTGGCCTATCACGAGGCTGGCCATGCCATCTTGGGCGCATTGATACTTGGCAAATCTCGATGAGTTGTGTGGTTGCCGATTTGCGAGGCAGCACCATATCCCAAAGATCAGCCACTACTTCCCTTCAACGCCTTTTGTTTCTGGAAGCTCCTTGGCGTGTTTTTTTTGGGCCCCACGCTTCCGACACCTCGGGCAAAATGACGCCGCTGAAGGTTGGCGCCAAAATTCAGTGCAGCAGCAAGCACCTTGAACGGTGGTTGCAGAGAAACACATTTTAAGCATATATATTTTTGAATTGTCCCATGGGGAGTCCCTTCATGGGGGTTCCGTATGTTGGACTCTTTCCGGTTTTCTGAGGATGAACGACTACGACGTCGTCGCCAAGATCAGCATCGTGCCCAGGGGGCCTGCGGGGGGGGTGACCATCTTCACCCCTTCAGAAGAGCGCCTGGATTCGGGGCTCTACACCAAGGCGCGGCTTTCCGGTCGGTGATCGATCAATTCGATAGACAGATTACTCGGAATACGATGCCCTTGATGAATCCGAGGAGTGGTAGTTGCCAGGGTGGTCTCTCTCATCAGGCACTGGAACCCTTTGGTGAGGTGAACCTGGGAGTAATAGGAACCCGGATGAACCAACCCCTGGTTGATTCGTAGGGGGTGTCCCATTTTAGAGGGGGTCCGTCACTTTTGACCCGTATGAATCTGGCAGGAACCAAAGCCGAGTCACCGTTCAGAGCTGGAAGAAGCCGGGCTTAAATGTGTCTTCCCTTTGAATTCACCCCCCTCCCTCGATAAAAGACACGCCCAACCGGGTCTTGACGGGTGACTTGGATTTGCTTGCGAGGAGTTTCTGGAGAACCGGATGTGCGTGGCGCTGGGAGGGCGATTGGCGGAGGAGAGCATTGTTGGTTGCAAACTTTGTTTGAAGACCAAGGCTTTATCAAAATTGAATTAGGGCCCCATTTTGGTATCCGCCATATGTTTGACCACCCCGAATCAGGCCAGGGCTTTCTTTGAAGGGCAGCCAGTTTCAAACAACAGTGGCTCAGTCCCATGTTCAAGCAAGGAGTTGACTCGCCCAAACCCTAAAAACGTGAAGCCAGCAAACGTTGTTTTAAGCAACAGTGGTTTAAATATGGGTGGTTGAATGGCACAGTTAAAATTGAACCATGATGTAACATAAGGGACCTAGAGTTTGGTTGAAGGATAGTGGCTTATGTTCCATTTGGGGGGGGGTCAGGGACGAACAGCGACTTACCCTTGTCTTAAACCATAGTGTAAACCTAAACCGGAGAAGCTTGTTTCAATGGTTCGCATCGATTCCAGTCTCAAGGAGATCATCAATGGCAAGGACAACGTCACCACCGGGGCCTCCAACGACTTCCAGCAGTGCACGCAGGTCGCAAAGCAGCGCCCATGGTCGCAGCGAGGTTTTCTTGAAAGAAGCCAGGCGTCAGCGGCTTCGTTGGTCGCAAAGACACCTCCAAAACATGGGGTGTTCAACTCAAACTACCTAAAGTGGCAGTGTCCATTGGCTTCCCCTGCCAGATAGGGGGCATGATCCTCAGTTTGGAACGACCCCGGTTTGTAGAATTTGATCAGAGAGGGAGATTCCCACTCCCTTCAATAAGTCCCGGTCCACATTCACTCAGGGCCCTCTTTTATACAACTGCCCTGGTTGCCCTTGCTGGGAAATCATACAAAACTATAAGAACCAGAAGGCAGGTACCCCTTTTGAAGAGTTTTCTGCGAAAACAGCCCACCCATGTTGGGGTTCTCTCACGTAGAGACAGCCACATTTTGGTGAAATCGCTGGACCAAGGCAACCCCCTCAAAGGCCCAGTTGGCCAAATCTAAAGCCATCAGTTTCGTATCAGTAATCACAGGCACGCTTTTTTTTTGTGTTCAAGGCACCATGGCGGGAAACAAGACTTCTGGACGCTGCACTCCATGTTCTATGTGTGTTCTTGCGCCTTCTCCTTGTTCTGTAAAAAATGAAGCTTGCAGATGCTGCACGATGATTTCCGGCTTCTTTTCCCCTCGCTTGCTTAAGCAAGTATTTGGAGGTGCAGTCTTGTGGAAATCCGGAGAACAATTGAGCATGTGTTCAGTTTCATTTCTCATCAAAGGGTTGAGCAACCTTCGAAGTGTATCGGACAACACCATCTCGAGGATCAAATGAGGGTGTTTGCCTGACCAGGGAACCAGTCAGGGAACCGCTCCCATCTACACACCATTGGGGCCTTTTCCCCACTCCAGACCGACCTCTTGGACCAATTCCAGACATGCTTTGCAACCTAGACAGTTGGATGTGGACTGCCCGATCTATCCGATGCCAGCATCTTTGCAGATACAGGCAAAGATACGAACGTATCTTCAGCCTAAGTCAGATCCATGCATTTAGCAGGCCAACATCAACCTCAAACTTGACAAAATGACTCCTCTCCAAGATAATCAACATGTGGCTCCTCTCCCGGGAGAGCGCGAACATGGCAGCCAGTTGTTCTTTTTCCCATGGACAGATGGGCCGTTTTTTGTGGCTGAGGATGGTGATGTCGCTGGGCATGTCCCCGGCGATCGGGCAGCGGCTGTTGGGCGGCCAGCAGGGGGGCGGGCCCTTCATGGGCCGAGACTTCATGGGTCAGAGCGCGCCGCCCATGTCGCAGGCCTTGAGGCAGCAGGTGGATGATGAGGCCAGGGGGCGTTGGGGGCGATGGGGAAAGCGAATGTGGTCGTCCCAGGCATGAAAGGCCAAGGGGTCGTCGGGGTCATTCAAGAATGCAAATGAGAGGATGGCCCACGTTGACAGTTTGTGAATCAAAGTTCTGAGGCTCCGGTTTTGCACTTGCCGAATTGTTGCAGGTGAAGCGCATTGTGGATGAGCAGTACAAGCGTGGCATGAAGCTGCTCACTGACAATATGTACCTGCTGGATGAGCTTGCCAAGACCCTGATGGAGCAGGAGAAGGTTGGTGGTGAGGAGTTGGTGAAGATGATCAACAAGGCCGCTGCTGAAGGCAGGGTTGCAATTCGATTGGCTGAAAAACACAGAGACCATGGCCCCTAAGATGTCAAAGGGAAACCAACAGAAGGTTGTTGCAGAAAAGAAAACAAACGGACCATCGCCCACTCTTCCAAGGGAGACCAAAACGAGCTTCTTTGAACAATAGTTCTTAAAATAGGTGCTTAGCTTGCCGCAGGCAAGCTGGTCATGGCGCAGCAGATGGCCACTGCTGCCTACGTGGGTGAAGCCAGCGAGAACAGCGGCACCAGCCGCGCCGCGCTGCCAGCGCAAGTCCACCAGGTCCGTGGCCAAAGAAGCCCCGGCCTCTGCGGAAGCCGCGCTCTGCCTCTGCGCAGCCGGGCTGCCAGGGCCACCCGCAGTGCGGTGGCGCGGTATGGCCTTGCCACGGAGGTGGAGGCGGCAAGCGAGTGCACCAGCGATGAGGTGCTGCGCAAGGTGCAGCAGGTGGCAGACTCACAGGGAGCGCTGCCAGAGCAGGCGAGGGATGTGCGAAGTTGCCAAGGTGCTTTCAGGGCTTTTGGCAAATGTAGAGCGTTTGGGCTGGGATAGCATTTAGATCTTTGGATGTGCAGCAGAGAGTGTATCTAGGTCCCCCAGTAGTGCCCTTTTACCAACTTTTTTGGGGGAGGGTTCCCCTACTAAAATAGACAGAATCGGGTACCCTTGTTCTAACCTCTCAAATCTGGAGGACCTAGGGAATGGACGGTTGTCCTCCTGCCTTCTTCTGGTTTTGCAGGCCGTCCAGGCTGCTGCTGCTTCGTTCTTGGTGGCTTTGGCCTCCACCGCAGCGCCTCTCGCGGCCTCGGCCGAGGCTGTGCCGACTGACGTGGCCGTGCAGCAGGCGGCACCGCTGGCCCCGGCGCCGGCGCCGGCGGCTCCGCAGATTGGGTCGCTGGTGGACAGAGTCACCTACTCCAACTTGCTGCAGCTGGTGGATGCACCTGGGCTGCACATGGCTTTGTGTCTTGGAGGTACCCTTCGTTGGCTTGAAAGGTGTTCCAAAAGAACCGCCACAATTTTGAGGGGTCCCCTGAATTAGCCTATCTTAACAGAAACTCACGTGATTTCTGCATGCAACAGATGCTTTTGCTGGCTCAGCAAAAGATGAGGTGCAGCATGCGGCCCAGAAACTGTGGGCTTGGGGTCACAGGGATCCGAGTCCCCAGACGATGGCTGGTCGGGTTCCCATCAGCTTCATGGTAGTTTTCCTTGTAGTCTCCCTTAAAAAGAACAAAACACAAACAAGGGGTATCCTCAAGAAAAGACTACCACATATATATATATATATATTGATATATATATATATATACACATGTATGTATTATGTATAATGTGTATATATACATATATATATATATATGTATATATATGTGCATGTTTATATACACCATATATATATATATACTCTCTCTCTCTATATATATATAAATATATATATATATATATATATTGAAACCTCCTTTTTTTCCCGGGCATCTCCCGGGATCTTTCTTTCAATGCGGCAGGAGGGCCAGGTGGCCCGCCTGGACTTCTACGACAAGGGCCGCACCGGGGTGGCCAGCGTGGTGGGCAAGCAGCAGCAGCTGGTGGCGGAGCTGCCCGCGGGCACCACCGGGCTCATCAACAAGCTCCTGGAAAAGCAGCGCCCTGCCGGGAGAAAAGGAGAGGAGAGAGAAAGACCTGCAGCTGGCCCATCCGTTGTTTTTTTCCTTCCGGCTTGGGGGGGGGGTTCAAGAAGCAGCTGAGTCACAATCAAGGCAACACTGATTCGTTGTTGTTTTTTGTTTGTTTTGGGTCGGGTGGGGTCAAGAAGCAGCTGAGTCATAATTCCGGGTAGATGAAGGTTAGGGACGATCCCATTCACAGATAGGTGCGGATGTCCGCCTTCTTAGTTCTTTTTATGGTTCTGGGCTAGCAATTTGTGTACCCGCTTTGATTATGACTCAGCTGGCGCCATGCCTTTTTTTTGTTCGGGAGGTGTCATCGAAAATGCGGGTGATTAAGGGCAAACCGAACATGGCCAAGCGAAAGCGGTGAACGGTATTCTCCCATGTATGGCAAAAAATGGGTTTACAGTACCCCATTGCCCACTCGAGGACACTGTGTGTGTGTGTGTTCTTTTTTAGAGTACACCGTTGTTTAGGTTGTCTTAAGGGAAGCCTAGAGGAAACCGACCCGTGTTTGTGGTCCCACTTTGACGCATACCCGTTTGCCTTGTGCAAGGTAACTTTTGCCTTTTGCAATCGGAGCTCTTTCTGAAAAAAGTTGGCCCGGAAGATTAACGGAGAATGGCGCTTGTGAAAGCAACGAACGGTGGTCATCTGAAACAAAGATTTGGGAGCTTGCTTTCCAGGATCATTCGGTCTTCGGTTTTGAAGGCCCCCAATGGGTGGCTTCCTGTTGGTTCCCAATCAATCATGGACCCCAAGAAAGGCTGGGGGATATCCCGCATTATTGCGGCCTTATTAATGCCTTATTAGTTCTTATCCTTGGCTTATCCTTGGCTTATCCTTGGCTTATCCTGGGCTTATCCTGGGCTTATCCTGGGCTTATCCAGCTTATCCCAGGAATAGCTTTCTGGGGGTCCCTAAATCTCGGAGAAGCAACCCAAGAAATGGTCCGGCCTCTCAGGATCCAGATCGAGGTCCACACGCCGGAGAAGCCCAACCCTCTGCTGGGGGCCTTGGGCGATGCCGCCCTGCCTCTTCTGCTCATCGGCGGCTTGCTCTATTTCCGGTCCAGGCCGGCCACGTCCCGTCGAAACGAGGCTGTTCAAAACATGGCGGTGCAAACCGTCATTTTGAGAAAGCATGTGTTTTTTTGTTGAAACACCTCCTTTTGTTTTCCCTGCTTTTGGTTTCCCTGCCAAAACGGCTTTGGCCGGGTTGTGCGACAAACATTTTTCAACCCCGGTAGAACAACCGGATGTGCCTCCCAGTGTGTCCGGCTGATCCGTGAGACCGGAAGTTTCAACCCAGGGGCCCTGGCACGGGCGGCATCCCGGGCATGAACCAGAAGGCGCAGATCATGATGACGCCGGAGACTGGCACCTGGGAAGAAAAACAAAAGGGCAGAACAGACACATTTTGGCCTTGGTGGCGCCCGAAGGCCATCCGGTTCCTTAGCCTTTTTGGCCTTTTAGTGTTTAGTGGTGGGTTTCCGTAACCCACTAAAAGTTATTCACTTTTAGCAGGGGATCTGAGGGCAGCCCAGACACAGAGGAAGGTGGCACTCTTCGTTGAAAAAAGCACCTCCCCGTCCCGAAGATGCGTTTGAGGAATTGTTTAGGCAGATGTGAGAGGATTTCCATCCGGCGGGTCGACTTGCAGAGAAGCACGTTGGTGTGTGAAACTATGGGGAGCCAAAAAACGGCGGTACCTGGTGCGGTCATTGGTTCGGTCAACATGTCCGGTATGGCCCCTTTATGAGGGCACAAGGGGGGAACTCACCAAAAAGTTCCCTTCAACAAATCTGGGCGCACGAGTCTTCCCATGTCCTCTTGGACAAACCTTGGTAAGTTTGACCCTGGCTCACATCCGGAAGCTTAGAAAGCTGCACAAACACAAACGCATGTAGCATCTCCCAGCATGTGGTTGTGATCCAAAGACGTAGGGACTGTTTGTTGCAACTTCTTGAGGTCAAAACTCTTTGGAGGAAGATCACGCTTGATGATCTTTGATTTAATGGGCGAGATCGGAGAAAGGATAGATGAGCAAAGTCAAGGCTTCTGTTCTGAATGCTGCCGTAGCATCTGCAGTTCCAGACTTATGGATGGACATGAGCTACCACGAAAGGGGTTCGTAAAGGGATGTGTGCTGGAGTGGAGTAGGTAACAACTCCCAAAAACGAAGGCGAGTCTTTAGAAGGAAGGGACCTGATTTGACTTTTGACCGACCCACCCAAACAACGAAGGCGAATGTTTGAAAACGAGAATTCGGAGGTGCTTCAGTTGCCACGTAAGGGTTTTGGCGGCTCTCGCCTGTTCTTTCTGAATTGATGGGAGGTACGCGTATTGGATAGGGTAAGGGGCCGCCTTCTGTCATCAACTTTGCCATCAAACAATGAAGGTTGCCTGATGAACCCTTGTCTTTGTTCAAATGTTGTTCTCAAAATACGCTACATATGTCGTCTCTTCCACCCACCTTTTGTCCGAACCTCACTTGAGGCTGCTGTAGGTGTAAGAAGATGAGAGACAGGCTGGCTAGTGCATTCAATCATTGTCAAATTCAGGATTTCATGCATTCAAGGAGACATGAAGCGTTCTTAATGTCAGCGGCTAGGGATTGAGTGCACCCCATAAGTTTATGAGTGAGTTTGGGATGTGAGCGCAAGTGACAGAGAAGATCAACCGGTCTCAAACACGTTTCCTTGGGCGGGTCGGTCACATCAGGTTCCTTCCTTTTAAAGACTCAGCTTCCTTTTTGGGAGTTGTTACCTATTCCACTTATTGTTTGATGGCAAATTTGATGACAGAAAGCGGCCCCTTGCAGGCTTCAGATTTGCCAAACACTTCTCAAGGCCTTCTCAAGCCGGCAACGAATGCCGAGACCCTGCCAATGAATAACAAAGACTCGGGCTCCCAAAAGAATGAGAAGGCTTCTTTGTTTGCATGCGGAACATTTTCGCCAAGTGGGCTTGGCTCAAAAATAAGAAGCTAGGGCAAACCGCAGGTTTTAGTCGTTTCCATTTACCCAGGTGCCATGTTAGTTTCCTTTTTTTGTTGCGCCACAGCCAAGTGGCGCGACGTTGCGAGGTGTGAAGTTCGAGGACGTGGCAGGCATCGAGGAGGCAAAGCAGGCGATACCTCGTCTCATGGGACGAGTTTCAACTGAGCTGTTTAATTTATTTCTAGGGATATCTGAGCTATTCGCAGGGAAACCAGAGCACACCACCTCCATACCATAGGGCTTCCACCATTCTGAGACGAGGCAATTGGCTAGAATTACGTTCCCAAAATGGGAGGTTGACGTACACGTATGGATGACTTCCATTTGCAGAATGTTTTTTTATTTTCCCCTGTTGGTTTTAAAGGGAGTCTAAGTCACTACTGGAAATATGTATTTTTTTCCAGGGGCCTTAAGCAACTGGAGGATGTAACTAGGGGTAACTTCCATTTCCATTCTTTCCAGGGATCGAATCTTGGTAGAAAACCACGACTAAAACCCTGGAGAAGTGGCTGGTTTTTGAAAAGGATGGCTGAAAAGAATGGACAAGGAAGCAAGCAACCCGTAGAATGGTCTATGGAGGTCTCCAATCTAGGGTATCGGTTAATCCCAAAACAAGACAAGAACAAGTGAGTGTTCTGTTGGTTTCCCTATGAATAAACCCCTAGAAGAGTGTGGATGATCAGTACTGTTGACCCCATATTATTCGACCCCAGTTTATAAACAGAAGAGGCGCCCCTGGCGATGTGATGCTAGCCGCCAGTCTTGCTAAAACACCTGGTCATAGGGGGGTGTTTCCCTCCAAAAGTGATGAATCTCACTAAAACCAGGAACACCCCCATATTGACAAGCTGGGGTTTATAAATCTTGGGTCAACACTACGGATGATCGATACACCACTTTACATATAAACCACCAAGCTGTTTACCCCAGACAGTTTCGTTTTGTTTTTCAAGGGAACTGACCTCACCTCACTCACTCACCCTTCCAAGGGGTTTCCCGAACCGGGTCTGGCAATGCGCGCCAGGAGCTGACGGAGATCGTAGACTTCTTGCGGGCGCCCGAGCGCTTCGTGAAGGTGGGCGCCAAGATCCCCCGAGGCGTCCTGCTGCGCGGCCCTCCGGGAACAGGTGCCTCGTCGACTACAAACAGAGCACGCGGAGACTTTCGTTTGGGCTAGCTGGATCCACTTTGCTTGGTGGTTCTCCAGGTTTTTAGGTTTTCATATGTTTAGCTGATTTAGTGGTAGTTTTACATTCCACCCACTAAAATTTAGTCACTTTTAGCGAGTCTGAAAACACGTCCCTCCACTTGACCATCAAATGTTTTGTCAAGATTGGGATTCGGACCCCAAATTGTCCGGTTTTGCTTTTGGGTTCCCTTCAAGCCAGGTGTGTCTGGGATCCAGCAACAGGGGTCCATTTGCTATTGAGACAATGACGTGACTCACTTCCTGAGTTCAGGGGCTTTATTCTTGGGAAGACCATGTTAGCGGCAAACAAAAAGTTTAGACTCTCTCGGCCAATCCACTCAGGAAGTGAGACCGTAGTCTTCTTTTCTCGCATGGTTTCACTGGGCCCGGCATCTCATGGCCCAGGCAAGACACTCATGGCCAAGGCCTTGGCGGGGGAGGCCAAGGTGCCCTTCATCCAGGCCATCAGCCAGCCCTTGGTTGGTGAAAGTTTCGTTTAGGGCAACCAAGTCGAGAGAGTACTTTGAAGCATATCGGTTCATGTGATCAGCATGGTGTGTTCAGGTGCGGGTCAAAGGTACACACAATTGGAACCCTGGTAAATGGAACGCAGGACTAGAGCGGCTGAAGTTTTGTTCACACCCATGTATATACACCGTATAGATCATCTTTGAAACCGTATCGACCGCTTGGAATCTCGCTCGGAGGCCTCCGCGTCGGAGTTCATTGAGCTCTTCGTGGGGGTGGGCGCCTCACGTGTCCGCGACATCTTCAAGCAGGCGGGATCGGGAAGCCCGGAAGAAAATTTGGGATCCAGGTCCGCCGCTGCTTTTGGGTGAGTGACTTCCATTTGCTTGAGAAGAAAGAACCACTTTTCCCTTGTTGGTTTTAAAAGGGGCACTGTCACTACTGAACATTTGGTTATTTTTGTCCAGGGGGCTGAAGCAAATGGAAGGTTATTGAAATTGGAATTGGAATGGACATGTTCAAGAAGCACTGCTATGGGGGGGGGGGGGCGCTGGTCTTGAGAACCCTTATAGTTAAGAGTTGGAACCACCTAGCTTGGCCTGGCCAAGTTGCGTTTTGTGAAAAGTTGTTTTTTTCCTGACCCCATAAAAGCTGTCACAGTTGGTGGGAACGTACTTTAGTCAAGGGAAGAGGCAACTACTGGGTCACCCAGCATGCCATCTTGGGTTGACTTAGCTCATTCTGAGCGAACCAGGGACACCGAATGTTTGTGAACTCTAATGCTGTCAAAACTTGGGCCTTTCTGTTTGGGAGGGCTTGTTGTGGGGCCAGCATGAAGCCATCCCTTGTGTGTTCTTAGTTGTCCGGTGGTTTGGGCTGGTATTCTTGTCACCGGGGGTCAACCGTGGTTGCGATGCTTCAGACCTGTTTACATTCATTTCTCTTTTGGTTTCTGGGCCCAAGCAGCAGGTTGATAGGGGGCTCAGGTCAATCCGGGTCATATGGTTTGGCTCACCTGATAAAGCAAGTCTCACCCATGGATATCTTTTGCTGGGGTTTCTGCTTATTTCTAGTTTGGGAATTTTGCTGATTCCAGATCAGCTTTGCGCGAATATCCTTGAGGATTGCTTGTGCGACTTTCTCTCTCCAGGTTCACTCAATCACTCGAGGGGTTGATTCCCCGCTCTTGTTAGCCCTTATGTTCAATACACATCTGTTTCCCTGGGTTTTTCCCAGTTTCCTGAAAAAAGAAGGATCTCTTTAAACAAAAATGGGGAAGCTTCCCCTGAAATCGCTGGCACTCACCGGATCCTCGGGATGCTTTGGGAACGTCAGGCCAAGGAGAACTCTCCGTGCATCGTCTTCATCGACGAGCTGGACGCCATCGGCCGCCAGCGCGGCGCGGGCATGGGCGGCGGCAACGACGAGCGCGAGCAAACCCTGAAGCTTGGATAGGCCCAACACTACTCCCCTACTGATTTACATTTTTAGTGGGAAACATGTTTATTGTGGTTGTTTTGACTCCCCTACTGATTTACTCCCCTAATGTTGTTGGGAAACATATTTTTACATGTTTGCTTATTGTGGTTCGGTGGTGGAAATTCCCACTTAACTTCTAAAATTCAAATCGTCGCTCCCCTTCCAACGTCAACCAAGTACTGCACATATTAACATGGGCTCCCCAAAAAACCTAGCCATAGAGGAGCCTCCGAAAATGGGGGACCCGCCCTTTGGGGTTCCATGTTCAGAAAAATTGCAAGGGGGTCATAGCGCAGCCGATTTCTTGCTTGACCCCGAGAATTCTCGAAGTGTTTCCGCGCGTTGAACAAAACTGCACTTTTCCTGCCTGCCCTGATGCCTGATGCGCAAAATGGCGCAATATGAATCGCTCTAAGCACGAAGAATGATTTGCCATTCATAGAAGTTCCCCCAGTCCAGGCATGGTCGTATTGAAGCAAGCATTCTGCACAACGGACTCATTTTCGATGAACTTCGACCTGGCAACTCGGAGCCGACTTTCTCAAGATGAACATATCTCCCATAGCATTGCAATGAACAACGGCAGTTGGTTTTTTTTTGGCGTAAAGATGGGCATGCAACAACTGCGCAGCGACGTTGTCCCATTGAGGGTGTGCAGTTGGAACACCCCATGGTCCATTCTGCTGGTAGCCAGTTGAACTCGACATCAGGACCTGGCAGCACGGAAATTGCAAACATGGGCACGGAACTTTATTGTAGCAGGTCGTACATCGGGATTCGGGCAGTGCCCCGGTGTCTGTAGGCCCAGCCTGAAAACCTGTATGTTTATTGAGACCGAGAGAGGTTTCATGACGCTTGGAAGCTTTGCTTGAGGGTTCCCTTCTATTTCCCCTGAGTTTCCTTTTGGTGATGCTAGGGCAAATCATTTTTGGCAGACCGTGATTGCCCAGGAATCAGATCCTCACTGAGATGGATGGCTTTGAAGGCAACAGCGGGGTCATTGTAGTGGCTGCCACCAATCGCGCAGAGCTTCGGCATGAGTCCCGGGGCCGCGCCGGAGGCCCCGAGTGGTTTTGTTTAGTCTGCCCGCTTCGGCACCGGATCTTGCCCCCAAGGCACCCACGACTGGATGCGTTCAGCTTGAATGGACACAGGTCACGATGTCCGGCCGCAAATCAATCACCAGAGTCGCAATGAAAGCCTGGTACAAGGGAGGTCTGCCCAAACCATGCAATTTACAGAATCCGAAGGGCGGACATCCGCACCTATGGCAAGGACTCCCTCACTAAAGCTGCTTCGCCGGGTTTGGAAGTGAAGCTCACCTCACTTGCCGTTGGAATCTTAGGACATCTTGGACAATGCCTTGCTGCGGCCGGGTCGTTTTGACCGCCGGGTCACAGTGGGTCTGCCGGATGTCAAGGGCCGGGAGCAGATCCTGAACGTGCACGTGAAGAACAAGAAGCTGGCGGAAGAGGCAAGAGCTGGGGTCAACTTTTCGAAAATCGCCGAGCGGTTGAGTCGTTTGCACCGAAAAGAATGCCGTGCACCGCCCACTGAAATGATTCGGACGCTCTACTTCAGATTCAGCAATCGCGGCCAGGTGCATGGACAGCTAGTCCATATGTTTCCGACAGTAACATGTCAAATCGAAGGCAACATGCGTGAATCATGATCCCACTTTGGCACAACTGCCGCGGCAGTGTGAGCACGGCGCAAACAAGCTTACGCAGGGGTAATGTCAGATGAATCAACCTGGCAGATTCACCTGGATTCCCTTCAAAATGGACACCCCCCATCAACCAACCAAGCAGGCCTTTGCTTATTTGCTTCAGTCGCCCTCGGCATTCTGTTTTGGGGCCTCTTGAAAGACCATCTTCAACTCCTTTTAGGGGCCGTTGCTCCGGTGCATGGACGGAAGGCTGGGTCAACTGTGGGACCATACATCTCCCTTGGTGGCTATGAGTCTTGAGGACTATCCTCCCCTGACATAAATACCCATGCCCAGCAGAGGGTCCCTTGTCAACGTGGGCGAAATTTGATCAACTTATTAGCCTACAGACTGGGTTTATGCTCTGGATTTTGTCTTCTTATGATGCTGTTATAGGAGACCAAGGGACCCTTGGACATCGTTTGGGGTTGTGTCCACCAACCACTTTGCGGAGGCGACGTTTTTTTGTTTTTGCTAGGAGTGGCTCGCAGCTTAGCAAGGGCTCCATGGTTTGTTGGTTGGTTGGTTGGTTGGGTTGGTTGGTTGGTTGGGTTGGTTGGTTGGTTGGTTGGTTGGTTGGTTGGTTGGTTGGGTTGGTTGGTTGGTTGGTTGGTTGGTTGGTTGGTTGGTTGGTTGGTTGGTTGGTTGGTTGGTTGGTTGGTTGGTTGGTTGGTTTGTCGCAAACCAGCAAAAATACAAAAAAGCACCACCCCTTCAGCAACAGCAAGCACAGCTGAAACAAGCCCCAAAGCCTGACGCAAGCCAGCCCGAAGCCACCCCCAAGTTTACCCAAGTTCAACCATAAGCAGCTAAGCTCAACAAACAACGGAGAGCCATTTTTGTTTATTTAGATTTTTGTTTTTTGTTTTCAGGGTGGGTGGCTTTTGTGGCTTTTCATTTCACATTCTCTGCATTTACAGTTCCTCTCTGTTTGGCTTTTGCGGCTTTTTATTGGGTTTACGCGGCTTTTGCGGCTTTGGCTTTCCGCATCCTCTGCATTGCGCTTTCCCAGTTGGTTTTTTGGACAGAGATTTAATTGCCCTATATTCGAGTCATTATTTCTGCAAACACCATGGGGGGGAGGGGGCTGCCGCCCCCCCCAACCCCCCCGCTACTTTTAGATTTTTTGCCTCAAATTGAATCATCACTTTTTCGATCATCATGGGGGGGGCTGCCGGCCGCTACTTGTTTCGATCATCTTGGCGGGGGCTGCCACCCCCCCAACCCCCCCGCTACATTTTAGATGTTGGCCCTAATTGAATCATCACTTTTTGGATCATCATGGGGGGGCTGCCCGCCCTCCCAACCCCCCGCTACCTCTATCACTTTTTCGAACCAACCTCCGCTACTTTTTAGGTGTTTACATGGATTAAATTGCAACCGTATTTGAATCCTCACTTGTACCATCATGAGGGGGACCCCCCCGCTTTTTAACATGCATATCATAAATATCTACCTACCTTGCTGGAGAGGAACTGACGATGCTGAGGATGTAGGAAGCCCTCAATTTGCTGGTGATGCTGGTGATGCTGGGGATGTTGGCTGGACATGCGGGGGATGTTGAAAACGATGCCTGGCAACAGATCAGGCGACCCCACTTTGCAGTGGATTCCCAAATGGTGAGCAAAGAACAGATGCCAATCCTACTACAGATGGACGAAATCCTGCGCCACCTAAGACACCCTGCAATGATGTTGATTCCCCTGTAATTACCAACAAACAATGGTTCAACCATGGATTCAAAGTGGTGCGAAGGGATTTCGTTCATCCGCAGGAGGTTTAAGGTACGTTGACCAAGGGTGGCTTCTCTGAGGTGACGCTTCTGGACATTGCCAAGCGCACAGCTGGCTTCAGCGGAGCAGATCTCGAGAATCTCATGAACCTTGGTTCCCATACCCTTCGACTCCTTGCTCACTTGTTTGTTGCCTGCAAGAAAATAGGGCTTCAACGGATAAGTCTCAAAATAGGGAGCCCTCGTGTTGGCTGGCTTTGAGAGGAAACCAAAAGGACACCAAGCACCTGAAAAAGTTCCTCATGTTGACCCATGTGGTGATACATGGCATATCGCACTGCCAAATACAAAACTATTGCAAGGAACGAGTCGGCCATCCTGGCGGCGCGGCGCAACAAGACGGGCATCACCATGCTGGCGACCTGGAAAAATCCACCCTGCCGGTCGCACAAAAACTGGTTGAACACAGTCGATCATCTTGGGTTCCCCTGGCTGGGTGAACGTAGATGGTACAGTTTGCCCATGGCCGGTTTTTGTTTTGAGGGATCCCCAAAATGATGTTTTTCTTTTTGGTTTCCCGACAAAAGCTACGAAAAGGGGATCTGAGACGAAATCCCGTTGCTTGCCATAGGAATTCTGCCATATTTTCAGCCAAGGGGAACCCAAAGGAGGTTGGTCAAACAGGGGAACCCACCTGAGGGGCATCGTTGACTTCATAAACTCTTACAAAATTGGGGTCTAGCCCTCAATAGAATCCCCACTAAACCAGGGGCACCTTCTTATTAGTCAGGGTTGATTACTCCGGGGCTCACCCATGAATCTGAAGAGAAAGTGGACTCTTGTTGGTCGCATTGTCCTTTTCGACTGGCCAGATGTGTTGCCAGTCTCAAAGCCAGCCATGTTGCGGGCAGCCACGCGCCCACTTGGCCGATGCATGTCGGGCACTGCCTGGATCCAAAAGCCCTGCTTGAGATTTTATGTTGTACCAACTTTGGGCAGCACATACAGAGATGATTGATGATACAGCAAACGTACGGGGATGTCTTGTTTTGAGGGCATCCTTTTTGGGGGAAAGCCACCATTTTGGGGGTTCCCCTAAAACACATGCACACCCATATGTGCCACGATCGATACAGCTTGATTGGATTTGAGAAGGATGCGAGTGCTGACATAGCGACCCTGACCTTCCTCGCTTCAAGCTGACAGAAGGAAATTGGAACACTATAGTCATCCTGCAAAGGCCCACACGTCCACTTCCATGACTGAAAGAGGATAGATACCGTTTGTAGTTTCCACATGTGTTAGCTGACAGAAGGATTGTGGAAGACTAGAGCCCTAGCTGACAGAAGCGTAGTATTTCTTCGCTGTTGTTGCATGTTGTTTGCCTGTTGGGCGTTTTGGGTTCTGTTCTCTTTTAGTGGTGGGGCTGCAAGAAACCCAGTTGTTCGCTACCATGCCAAGGGTTGTCAAGGTTTCAACCGTCCATGAGGGGCTACGAAGGGTACCTAGGAGATCAACGATGCGACTGACCGGGTCATCGCTGGCCTCGAGGGCCGGGCCATGCCCGACAGCGCCTCCAAGCTACTCAGCAGAAAAGAAAAGCATAGTCCCAAAGGCAAACCTACGGTGGATGGACGACTTTCTGCACCACTTTGAAACCATGGTTGAAGCCATTGCTTGTTGGTACGTACAGGGGAATCAAACCATTCCAGGGTTTCTTAGTTGCTTTTGCCCATCCACAGCAGGGGGGTCCTTTTTTGAGTGTACTCAGTTGCCCAAAGCCGACCTTTTGATTTTGCAGTTTTGGTTTATATTTAGTCAAGGTCCCCAAAGGTTAACCATCGCTTCACCTTTTGTGTTGAGGTGCTTTGGGCAAGCGTGGGTGGACCATTTGCTGATACAGAACAACCTTTGGGAAAACTACAAGCTCGATTGTAAGACGCACCCACCAGGGAGGCGTTGGCAATCTAAATCAACCGGTTCTGATACCAAAGGACAATGCAGGCACGTGCTTCTCACGTGGAGCAGAATGAAGCAACAAAGCCTCGCAGTTGGATCTCCCAAAGCTTGAGGTGGGGTCATTCTGTTGGTTCTGTTTCTGGCGGTTCTACAAGTCAGAACATGGCTGTTTTCCTTTCGCCCTACTTGCGGACTTTGATGGCCCTTTGATCATGGCCGCAGGGGGCAAAGGACCGAATCACGGGGCCAGCTGAGGGGGGGGGACTTGGCTGTGGCTCAGAAAACCGGTACCAAAATGGAACCCTGGTAAGTGGAAACATGGACCAAAACCTGCGAAACCCCTGTTGTTTATTTTGAGCCACAGCCACTTGATTTGGGTTTCATGTCTGCGTGGTGAAAATTGGGGCCTCGCCTTGTTCTCAGGCGGCACGTAACGTTCTGGCGGCCCAAACGGAGCCGGCCATGTGGATGGTTGGAAATCCAGTTCGCACAACCCAAGACACCAGGGTTGGAGCCAGAACGTTTGTTGGTATCAGGGGGATCATATCATTCTAGGGTCTCTGAACGGTGGTGCAGAATTTCTTAGGCAGTGCGAACTGGATTTCGCAACCATCCACAGCATGTTTGACCACTGAGCATGTGGCTGTGGCTCAGAAAACCGGTACCAAAATGAAACCCTGGTAAGCGGAAACATGGACCAAAACCTGCGAAACCCCTGTTGTTTATTTTGAGCCACACCCATGTGAGTCTGCACAGGGTCCGCACGCGAGGAAGCTGGTGGCCTATCACGAGGCAGGCCACGCAGTGGTGGGCACCATGCTGCCGTACCACGACCCCGTCAGCCTGGCGAACTTGCGAATCCATGGTATAAACAGGGACTCCTCTGTCCGTGTTTTTCCTGGGCCCGGAGACGCATTCCCATTTGTTTGGTGGGCGTGGGTAATTCAAGAGCTGGGGTAATTTAAGAGCTGGGATGGCTCGCAACACGCAACGATACGATTCGGTATGTTGTATTTGTATTGTTGAAACGACCATGATGGTCTTTGTTTCAAAGGGGTCAAAAAGGTGGGTACCACTTTTTCTTAGGCCGCAGCTTCATGGAAATCGCCGTAGTGTTGTATTGGCTAGGTATGGCAAACTGATGGTCACTCACTTCCGCAGTTTGAGTCTTATTGAAACTGCGGGCAACGCTGAGTGTTGGCCTGTGAGACTGTCACGTTCCGGGTGGAGCTGTTTGCTGCGCAATCTCTCCATGGTTTAGTTCCAGCGCCAGGTGAACAAGGTGACGCTGATCCCCCGGGGCCAGGCCAAAGGCCTCACCTGGTTCACTCCTGGGGAGGACCAGAGCCTCATCTCAGCGGCCATGCTGAAGGCATGGGAAACTCAAGCGCAAGCGGTTTTTTTGCGCGGTGATCCCTTGGACAGAGGATCCCTTGGACATGTTTGGGTTTCATTTTGCTTCCCTTAAAGTTCCATCCAAAGGGGTGCCCCAACATGAACCCAGACTTCAAGCCACTGAGACAATGCGCCCAACAAAACACCCATCCAAAGGCCAAAAAAAAGATTCTTGGTTTCCCAAAACCCATCCAAGACCTCCCCAAATTGGACAACTTACTGGCAAAGGCCCCCAAAAAGATTCTTGGTTTCCCTAAATTCATCCAAGACCTCCCCCAAAAGCTTGGTTTCCCAAAACCCATCCAAGGCTACTTGGCAGCTGGTGACGTTTTTTTTTCTGGGACCGACACCCCAGGCGCGCATCTCGGGGGCCTTGGGTGGCCGCGCGGCGGAGCAGCTGGTCTTCGGCACAGACCAGGTCACCACCGGGGCCGGGGGAGACTTGCAGCAGGCTGGAGTTGACCAAAGGGCAAGTCCGCTCTGATGGTTAACTGTTAACTTCCATTTGCTGAAATGAATATTTGTTGTTGTTCCCTTGCTAGATTCAAGGTAATCATGGCTAACTTCCATTTGCTGAAATGAGTATTTGTTGATTTTCCATGGTTGGTTTTAAGAAGGTACGTCATCTATCACGGTGTTTGTTCAAAAAGAAATCCAGGGGGCTTTAGCAAAGGGAAGTCTAGAAAGATTCTCCATGTTTCCGTGAGAAGATCCACGGTGAACTGGGCTCTCTCGCCTGCTCTAAATTGTCAGATCGTTGAAAAGCTGTTTGGACCTTAGCTTACTTCTTTAGGCCCTCGACCAGTGCCCTTGGTTCCAATTTGAAGGGAGTTGTCATTCTATCAACTACCAAAGCAGGGTACTCCTTGTTTTCCTGGCTGGAGGTGTGGGAGAGAGAGATTTGGGTATGGGTCAAAACTAAGCCACCAGGAATTGGACCGCAGGTTTTAGTCCTTGGTTCCATTTATCAGGCTTCCATTTTGGGTACCTATTTTTGACCCACAGCCATTTGGTCACTGAAACAAAAGCAGCTCCTCGCAGGTGGAACGCATGGCCCGCGCCATGGTCACACAGTTCGGCATGTCCCAGGCAGGATTCGTCAACTCGCAGCTCAGTCGAACCGCGAGACGAGAAGTTCAAACAGTCACACAGAAAAGCGGATTTGCAAGCACTGCATCAAAGCAACATTCATTGTTTCGACTAGTGCAGGATTCGTCAACTCTTGTGTTGATGGTTGTTTGTCGAGCTTTCAATTAGGTTTTGCAAAACCCCCAATGATTTGCAGATTGCGGATTGTGCAGTTTATTGATTGGAGTTGCGGATAGTGGATTGCATGGGTTGTTCAATGCTGAAGCGTAGGGTTAGAATATCACACTTTGCATCGTGCATTACGGATTATTACCAAGAACAAGGCTTAAGCGGAGGGATTGTGATTAGTTAGACCCCAATGGATTCAAATGTAAATTTGCTTGCCCAGGTGTCGTTCGTTGTCACAGCGGTTTGGCTGGACATAGCTTATGGGGTGCTTCTAGTCGGTGTAAAATGTAAGAGCCCTCTTGCTGGATTCGAGAGAGGATGTAGGTTGCATTCCAGCAGAGCATGTCATGTGCCGCAAAACATTACTCCATCTATTGGAAGTCGTCACAATCCAACAAGCAACCGATTACCACCCCCCCCCAAGTATAGATATCCGGAGGATGGTAAATGACAATGTAAAATCCATGTTCCCTGTTACAGGGTCTTTAGCCAACCTCACTTGGGTATGGGTCAAAATTAAACCACCAGCGGACCACAGGTTTTACTTATGGTTTCCATTTACCAGGGTGCCATATTGGGTACGCACCTATTTTTGACCCACCGCCATTTCCCCATAAAACCCGCGTGACTCGCCCACGCCAGGTGGGCTCCATCGCCATCGACGAGGGCGGTATGATGGGCCCCAGCTACTCCGAGGCGTTGAGCAGCGAGATCGACGGGGCCGTGAAGTCCATCTCGGATGAGCCGCTGGGACCCATGCGACCAGTGCCAGAAAATCGAGGGACCAACGGACCAACCGGAGGGTTTTTTGGGCGGGGGCTCTATGACTCTATATCCGGGAGTGTGGCAAAAGGCTTTTTTAACTTGGGGTAATTGAAAAGGGATGGGCGTCAAAGATTTCAGGGAGGGATCCTAGTTCCACAGGAGTTTTGACCGGCATGACCCAAGCCCTGGCGGCGTGGCTGGGAGAGGAGAGTAGTGCTTCGACTTGGACCGCACCGATGCACATGAAGGTGGATCAAACATATGCATTTTGCTGCATAGGGCATGCAACAGGCAATCTAATGTGGCTGAGTGGCTACGATCCATTTTGTGCGTGGTGCTCCGGCAATGCGGCTAAATGTTGCCAACAGTTGGCTCACATAGTTGGTGCGCCATGTGCGTGTGACGCAGTTTGGCATGCCTCAGGCCTAAATGGCCGGAGCCGTCATAGAAAACATCGAAAATAGGAGACACCTGCAGGACCCATTGATAGACAAATGTTTGCTCGAGCCTTCGTGGCAAAGAAGTGCGCGAGTACTGGTAAATGCAAGCACATGCAAACACACGGATTGCGGAACAAAACTTTGGCTTTGCATACTTTTTGGAATTGCGCCCGAGTTGCGGAAAATTGCGCTTGAGTGGCGGGAAATTGCGCTCGAGTTGCAGGTTCGTTTTCTCTCGAGCACCTCACCAAAGCAGCTAGGCAACCTCAAAAAGTGCTCGCATTGGATTTGAGCAGAAAAAAGCCACTCGAGTGCCAAAAATTGTCCGGAGCACTGTTTTTGTGTATCAAAGGGTCCTCCAGGGCAATATGAGTTTTGTCTGGGAGTGTGTCGAAAGGAGCCCCCAGCAAAGGAAAATGACACCACGAGAGAGATCCAGATGAGGGAAGTCGACTCTATGCGCTTTGCAGCGTGGTACTTCGTGGATTCGAATTTCATTGGGGAATGGTTTTGAAGTGGTTGGTGGACATCTACGTGTGAATGATGTCCACCAAGGGGTCCAAGCAACTAAGATACTGTTACATCGACCCTGTTTTTGTTTGCCCATAAACTCTGGTAACCCTTAGTTGGTGGCTGTAGACCGCTTGAGAATCTGAACTGTTTGTCCTTGTAAAGATTGCATGGGAAGCCACCCCTGATCGTCCAAACCACCAATTCAAAAGCACCCGTTTTGAGCGAAGCCCATAAACCAAATGTCACCCCCCAAAATAATTTTTGCACCCCAGCCCCAAAACCCGAACCCTTTCAGAAGGCTAGGCGTAGTTTTGGGTAATGACAAATTATGGGGCTGGAACATCCGATTTGCCAACGGAAAGCGCCAAGATGGTTGGAAACTCCAAACAATAACAACAAAAACGCCAAACAATCCAACCCTAAGAGTTCACAACACCCAAATGCACGTGTCGCGCTCAGGTGCTACCTGAGGGCCCTAACTCTGCTCGCAGAGCATCGGGCTGCCTTGGACAAGATTGCAGAGGAGCTGTGCGAGGCGTGAGAGCCGCAGCTCTCCCTGGGGCATACGCATGCTTACATACATGCATACATACATGCATACATACACGCATACATGCATAAATGCATGCGCACACACACATAATAATACATTGTGTAGACCTTGCATTGAATCACATTACATCGCCTTGCATTGAATCGCATTGAGTACATTGCATATCATTGCATTACATTTCATTTATTTACGGTACATTGACTTGAGTACACCACATTACATTACATACCATTACATGACATTATATGCCATTGCATGACATTGAATGATTACATTATATTACACAATTTACATTACATTGAACTGCCTTGCATTGCACCGCAATAATACATTGCATACCTTGAATACATTACGTCAGGCTACATGACACCGCGCACCACCTTGCAGTACATCACATTACCTTACATGACATGACATTGAATTGCATTGCATTATGGCATTACGTTATATACATGCATGCATGCATGCATGCATCAAAGGCAGGCAGGCAGGCAGGCAGACAGACAGACAGACAGACAGACAGACAGACAGATAGATATACAGACATCTACATATATATATATATATAACATACATACATATATATATATATATTTACACCTACATTCACAACTTTGCATTGCAATACATTGCCTAAGATTCTCATAGCATATTGACATTGGATGTGCCATGTGTCAAGATATTCGATCGGAGGTGGAGACCATGTCCGGGGAGCGACTGAAGCAGATCTTGGAGGAGCACACCGCGGTGCCCGAGAAGCTGACAGCGGTCTGAGCGGAGAAAAAAACACCACCGGTTTGAGGCCAAAGACGTCGGCCAAATCGGGGGGCTGTATATATTTAGCGACTAAACAACAAAAACAAAGCCGTCTTTCTTTTTTCCGGGAAATGGACGTCCGGAAGAAAATGGCTTTGGGTCTCTGCTGAAAAAAGGCAGGCTAGCAATGATTTAATTCCAAGGGTGAACACAAATCTCTCGAGTTGCAGGCTCCACTTTTTTTTTGGGAGTCTCTGAGATAGGCCACGAAGATGCTGCAATTGAGCGTTGCAGTCCCAGTGGCTTCAATCACAGACTCTCGGGTACAGACTTTTAAGACGGCTGCTATTTGCCTGCCACGGCAATCTTCGGCACCGGGGCGTTTCAACTCAGATCCCGATGTGCCCCAACTTTGGTTCAAAGACTTCGTGAATTCAAGACGCTGACTTGCCAGCCAGTGCCTCCTCTTCCCACAGGCGGCTCTTGGTCGTCCTGGTGGCACTGTCTTTTCGATCGCGAAAAACAAATCCGACACGGTGGGTTTGTTGAGCGAAGTCTTGGGCTGGGTTTTGAGCCTTTGGGTTAGGGCCAGAAAGGCCAATCAGTCATCACGCGGAGGTTTGGAGTTTTTAGGCCCTTGAGCAATTCTGGATATTAAAGCCCTCTTTTCAGCTTTGGTACGAGCCGCATAGAATGGGGGGCTCGGCTGCCCACCCTAAGGCCCTTATGAGTTGGCCTTTTGACCTTTGTTTGCCCCTTCAAGGATTTTCTGGGAAGGTCTCAGCATGCCTTCCGCCATGAAACTCGCCCAAAGCCAGACTGTTATGCAGGTATTGCCTGCAGCTCATTGAGGTGCCATGTGCACATTTACGAAACACCAGAAGGTCTGCAGATGGAAGCAGGTGCTAGTACACTCCGAGACTGCCCACTTTTCTTTTACCATGGAGCCAACGGAATCTGTTAAAGATAAGTTCCTGGGGTTACTTCTCTTGATTTGCAGGGGAGAAACCACTTTGGAGTGGTTCCCTGATTCGTCCAGACACAATTGAAAACCATAAAGAGCAACACCCAGTTTCAGCATACCACAAACGCACAAGACAAAAACACCAGATCATTTTATATACCAACACCCCCAACCAATGGCTTTTGAGCAATACTTGGGATGGACATGGGGAAAAGCAGTTGTTGGGGGGTGCTGGTAAGAAGGTTTCCCAAACGGGTTGCCCTGGTAAATGGAAAGAGCTAAAACCTGCGGTCCCCCTGTTGAATGTTGACCATACCCTGCAAAAACACCAGGTTCTACCAAGAACATGGTAGATCGGGTTGCCCAGATCTACAAAAACACCAGGTTTACCTTGTGCCCAGATACGAGCAAACAAAACTCAAAAGTGCAAAAGGTTGTTCTCCCTCTGGGCTGATTATTGAGACTGTTTCTGGGCATCAAAGTCAGAAACTGGAATTGGTGGTTTCCCTTCAACCTATTACTTGATAAATGACTTTGATACTGTGAATGGACGAAATCCTGCACCATCTGAGAAACCCTAGAATGATATGATCCACTGTAAATACCAACAAACGTTCTGGTTTCAACCCTGGTGTCTTGGGTGGTGCGAAATGGATGTTGTCCGCTGAAATCATGGGGCCAGTCCCTCCTCCCTCCTGCGCCGTCGCCCCCCAAAAGCTCGCGAAAGCCACGCAGCGCGGCCCTCGCGGCGGTGCGCGCCGCGAAGCAGCTGGCGGAGAAGGCGGCTGGTTTTGTCGCAGCCGGGGGTTCCGGGTGAGGGGACCCGTGGGTTTCCCTTCGCGCAATCGCCGCGGTGTTCTCCCGCATCAAAACATGGGAAGGAACCCACACAGGATCCAGTTCTCCCAGCAGAGTCCGGTTCCGAAGAAGGTCGGGAGTTTCGGGGTTCCAGGTTGTATGTTTCCGGGAGAGGGCCCTTTCGAGGGGGGTGGTTTTTTCATGGACGTCATCAAGAACTACATTGCTTTTTTGGGGGTCCCTATTTTAAGGCACAGCGGCCCGGTTTTTGGGGACGGCTCGCAAAGCAGGACGTGGTGACGTGGTGGTCTATTTTACCACGCGGATCGAATCTTGAGGTTTCCTTGCACCATGCAGGTATGGCAAGGGCTTCTTTTTGGCTTCCCTTTAAATACCAACGGGGGGTCGAAGCACCGTGAGTCATACACTCAGACGGGGTTGTCACAAAGATCGGTTCCAAATGCCCAGCGATGGGAACTCGCGACTCGGCAACCCCCCGAACGGCGGCACAGGGACTCTGCTCACTCAGCACCGAGTCGTTTTGCTGACATGTCCTTTAAAGCACCGGTACGGTTTTCTGACACACGGATCCGTGCAGCATGGCGTTTGACCGACAGGCCGAATGAGGCTCCAGGATTTGGCACGCAGCGTGCAAAGCCAAAGCAATCTTCGACGGTCGGGCGGTCGCGGACTATGATTCCGGTGCTTGTCATAGATGTGTTGATCAAGTGTTTTCGAGTCCTAATGCAGCGTCTCTTTACACATCATTGTTGCAAGTCTGATCCAACAATACCCTAGTTGTTCTTGAGATAAGAGGTTTATCTTTTCGGTAAGACATTTGCTATACCAAAATTTGCTTCAGCTTGCTTCTCGGAATCCAGACGCATCGTGTTCCAGAAAATATAGAGTGGAGGTGACCAACCAGCCGTTGGCATAGCAACTCTCCAGTTCTGACATGCTAAGTTGATACGAATAGCCTGAGACCTTGGCACCTTCCGCCATTTGCAGGTTCCAGACTCCGAGACTACCCTGGGCATGGTGAGGCTCGTGTGCGATTTTTTTTTTTTATTTTTTTCTCCCGGGCGTCACTGGCCACTCCACGGACTTGAGGATTGCTTCCAGATGCTTCAGATGTGAACATGGCATGACGTGGCGCTTGATAGCTTGAGGACAGCTACATTGACTATAGCCGATAGCTGCAACTTCTTCTTCCCAGCTTCCTGAAGTCAAGGATGGGGCAAAGCAGGAGGTTGTTACAAAGAAAGGTGTACGAGAAAGAAAGAAAGACACCTACGATCCCCTTTCCCTGGCGGGATGCTACGGGAAATCTACAACCCATAGCGGGGCACCACAGAACCTGAGCCTTCCCTTATCACTTTTTTAAGCTGCAGAATCATTGTTTGTTCCCCCGGGCCAAAACCCGGCCATGTCGGATTTCACTCCGCACTGCGGGTTTTTGTCCATGACTAGGTCCCCCAGCTAGGTGCCCTTTCTCACCCCTTTTTTGGTTGGGGGATTCCCCTGCTAAAATCGACTACAGATAAATGCCAACCTCTCAAATGGTCTTTAAAATTCCGGACCCAGATGGTGTTCGAACCTTTGGTTCACTTTTTACCTCTTACTGGACTTTCTTGGTGGGGAGGGTTCCCCTACTAAAATAGACTACAGAGAAAAAAGGTAACGAATTATTCCAACCTCTTTGGAGGACCAAAAGTAATCACCACGTCCGTCTCTTCCGCGAAAGGGGAAAGAAAAAAAACGAAGACGACTGAGCCGCCTTCGCTCGGAGCGGAGCTCGCGCCATGGACTCATGGGCGCCAGCTGCAGCGAGGTGCACCGCGTGGCTCGGACGAGCAAGACATTCCCAAGGGTTTGGAAAAGGAGCGAAAGGATTGAAAGAAGCTGAACGACATGGGATATGATTGAAAGAAGGTGAACAACAGGGGATATTTATGATATGATGGCTTTTCATTCAATCACCCGCTTCTGGTTGTACTTGTTTTGGAGTTGGTACCCTTTGGTAGGTTATTTGTAAACCGGAACTAGGTTTTCTTGGCTCCCTCCCTCCGAACGAAACCCCTTGACCCACCAATCTTAGAGAACACCTTGTAGTTTCGAGGGGAATTGCATGCATGGCCTGCTTTGTGCCCCCGAAGCCTTTTGGGTAGCGACCTGATAGCCACATGCTGGTGGCAAATCAGTGGGCCTTTCGGGTAAAAATGTGCGCCCTGGTGGGCCTAGTTGATGGAGTGATGGTTCCATGGGCAGAAGCCAGGATGATAAACTGGCTGCCAATGTTGTATAGCGCAAGGTTGTTCCCTACGGGTTTCTTCGAGAAGCTGATGAGCCAATCTAGAAAGCTGATTTGAACAAGGTTCCTTTGTTTCAAAACTAATGTTGGTTCGGTCCAGCCCATTAGGGATTAATCCTGGATACAGCAAAGCAAGACGATAAATGCTAGGCAATGCGTTTTGATGAACTTGCCGCAAAGCAGACCGCGGTTCAAAGGGGTTTTTGTCTTCCACAACCCGACATGGTAGCCCACTCCCATGTTGGAAAGAGGGCATCGGACATGGGATTTTTCTTTTGCCTGCCAACAATATGCACCGAACTGGGAACTAAAACCACCCGAGGTTTGGGGCCGGGGGGGGGGGAGCACCAGGATTTTGGTCCATTTTTTTCCGCCTGAGATGAGGCCTGCGCTGATCTGGCTGCCCCGAAGGCGAAGGCGCAGCGAAGTGAAGAATTGGGTTCCAGGTTTCTTTAGAGCAAACGAGGGAATCCAATCCCTGTTTGGCCTTTTAGCTTTTTAGCTTTTTAGTGGTAGTTTCCATTTAACCCACTAAAAGTTAAACTTTTTGCGGAGCCCAGCACGGGTTTCTTAGGTGCAGAATGTCGTCCATCCAATCAGATTGATGAGGACCATACCCCAAGGCTGCTGGGGACTGGAACCGAGTCCGGGTTTTTGGACGAACCGTTTGGGATTCCCGAACAAAGGAAACCACAGCGGATGGCTTGTAGGGGTCATTTTATCATTCCCTGCTGAGAACCAGCAAGAAACTCTTGCTGTCGTTGTCAAGCATGGTTTGTTACCGATTCTTGGGCTTGCATGCGTACGCGGTTGCAAAGATACCGAGAACTCTCATTAAAGTACGCGAAGAGGCCGCTTGAGTTGAGTTTGTTCATAATGCATTCACCACCCTTAGTGTTGCTGAACAGAGGGCACGCTTTCGCAAGTTGCGCGGCATTTGGTGGGTAGTATTTGAGTGCAGGACCAAACGGGGGTGTCTTTTCAGAGAGCCCCTACTTTCAGCTTTCCTTTGAGCCCACTCTAACAATGGCAGCCTCAAACATGGCACACCCACCCCTCCATGCTCCAGAAACGTTCAGTTCCATCGGAGCACAGGCCACGAACGAGCGCGGCGCAGAAACTCGACAGCACCGAGTTTGAACCCCGTGCTCATGGGCAGAGACGCGGGAATGTGCACATCAAAGCTTGGGCGAGTTTGAATTGAACAGTTGAAAGCCTTAACGCTGCTCATCAAATCAATGATATTAAGATTGATGAATAGCCGTATTGATATCATTGAGCGTCCACCCGGCAGTTTCTAGCTCATCCATATTGGTGGGACAGCCACATGTCTGATTTTCTGAGCAACCTGAAGCCTTTTTCCAGCGTGGGTGTGTCTTAGAATATGGGACCCCCCCAAAGTGGTCAGATTTGTTTGGTCTGACTTTTTTCTTCCCGGCAAAAACCACAATATTTGCTGGGTACACTCTACCATGGAAGCTCAAGGAGTGCCGCTGAAAATGGAACCAACGTCTTCCAAGTCGCGTCTCTCAGGTGCCTGCGGGGGTGGCGCGGCGAAGCGTGCCCAGCCGCTGGGTGAGTACTGGGCCTCTGCTTCTTCTTGTTCTTGTTTTCTGCGAGGGAGCCGTATTTTTTGGGTCGGTGAAAAGCGACGCCAAAGGAACACCGCCTTTCTTTCGCGGCCCCCGGCAACTTTGACAGTAAAAGAGCTAGATGATGTTTTAGGGGGGCCTGTTTGACAGATATTGGCAAACATGAGACTCGGCGTGCTCCGCATGCACCCGGGGCGGGGTCCCAAGTGCAGGATCGCCACTGAACACCTCCTTGGCCAGATCCGAAGCTCCGAACTTTGGCAAGAGGACTTGGATGTTAGGAAGTGCACGCCCATCTTGCTGGTGCGAAATCGGTAGGGAATGAGAAATGGAATGAACCGGGGGATTCCCTTAAAGGAAACCACAAGGGATGGTTTATAGGGGCATTCCCTCATTCCCTCATTCCCTACTGAGCACCAGTGAGATGAAGTCGTCGTGAGTTCCACTTTGGCGCCCCTATCAAATTGCTATATCAGCGTAGAATGTCCATATCAGGCAGGCGCGCACACACACACAAAAGAGACAGAAACCTCCGTTCTGAAAGAGGAGAGGCCCTCTAACAACTTGCACACCTTGACCTTGTTGACATTACTGGCAGGCAAACCAAATAGTCAGGATGACGTCGCACGCAGAATGAAAAAGGAGTTGGCCCTCTGAGCTGTTTTTCCGTTGATACGCTATGATACACTTACACAACTCACTCTGAGCTGCACTTTGACCCCTCACCCCTTACAACATCTGGGTGTGGGTCAAAATTAAGCCACCAGGAATTGGATGGTAGGCTTCAGTCCTTCCAGTTGCCAGTTGAACCCCATATTTGCTGCCCTCCCCCAGACAATTCCATGGAAGCTCCCAGGACTTCTTTGGAAGAAGTGGTTCCATTTACAGAGGCCTGGGAGCTTCCATGTTGGTCTGAGGGAGTGTAAGAATACTGGACTTTATGTTTTAATATATATATATACCTGGACCAACCAAGGGCACTTTTTTTGCGACTGTCGGCAAAAATCCGGGCATTTGTTTGAAATCCATACATTTGAGCAAAAACTGTACTTTTTTGCAGGCTCAACGCAAGACACAGGAGCATTCAACGACCTTTTCCTGCAAGAATCTCACGTTCAGCTCCGGCGCTGGCACTGGCGATTGTCATGCTCATGGGCCAAGAAAATATATTTGAAGGTGTGCAATTCACCAAGGACAAAAGGTGCGCATTTGGCCAAGCAAACGTTCCGCTGATTTCCGTACTTTTTCCGCAGATTTCCGTACTTTTCCCGCCGATTTCCGTGCATTTCCTGCCGATTTCCGTGCATTTCCTGTTTCTACATTTTGGCTGAGAAAACTGCAAACTCACAAAAGCGGCAAGGAAGCTGTCACATGTCGCCCCGCAGCAAACGCTCACAGCCTGCTAAAAGCGATTTCCGTCAAATTTCCTCAAAAGTGTACATTGACGGTTTGTTTCTGCATGTACGGAAATTTCAGTACTTTTGGAGGGTTCAGGTATATATATTTTTTCCCAGGGGTCTAAAAGGGGTCTTAAGCAAATGGAAGCCCAGCTTGGAGTCAGCCATGAAATTCGCATGCGTTGGAACGCCTCTTTTTTTTCGGACCCACCCGGAGCTCAGGCGACTCCGAGAGCGATGCGGAGAGCCAGGTGTCCCGGAGGCGAGAGATGAGTCCAAGGCAGCTCCAGCCATAGCTTGGTTCAACCAGCCACCCGGTTCCTTAGCTGTTTAGATTCTTAGATCTTTTTAGTGGGTTTGGTGATTGGGTTTCCGAATTGAACCCACACTGACGGCCCAGATCCATGTCCTTTCTGGGCTTGGCAGAAAATAGATGATCCCTGACGTGATTGATTCATCCAAGAGGGACATCCATCCCTATTCTTAACCCGAAGTTGCATCCCTGGTGGGACCTTGTAGAATTTACCCTCCAATCATTAGCCAATTCCTGGCTCTTTGGGGTTGACCAATGATTGGCTCTCTCCGGGAATTTCGTAGATCTCCCCATTAAAAAACATATCCACCCATATATTCGACTCAACTCTTTTTGACCCCTCCTGTCCACGCTTCACGCGACGAAACCAACAAAAGTTCGAATGAGGGAAGATATCGAGCGGATGGAGCCGATCGATCCAAAGGCCGGACTTCGCCAACTTGCTGGGCCGCAGGGTGCGGCACTTCGAGGTCTCGGAGCCCGACCTCAGCCCCCAGGCGCAGCTCACGGAGGCGTTGGCGCGCGTTGGACGTGGGACGTGGGGAAAAGGCGCAGAAGAAAAAGGCGGCGGGGTTCGTGTCTCGGATTTTTCTTTTTTGAGAACTTGGGGTGGTCAAGGTGTCCTTGTGCCGAAAGTGGCGATCGTTTTTACTGGACACCAGTAAATTGCAACCTTTGAAGGGGAAATTCAGTGACCCCCTGTTGGTTCAGGGGACAAAGATGACAGCCCAATGAAAGGTTGGGGGGGAATGTCCAAATTTGGACACATCGCCTCTGGGTGCAATTCTGGGCCTGGAGGCGGTTGCTTTGCTTTCCTTGGCTTGCCAGGTCGTGAAAGCCGTGAAATCTTCAGGTCGGCGTTTTTTGCGCAAAGTGCATCTGGGTATCATCTGGGTTTCTCTAAAAAGGGGGTGCTTTCTCCAAGGAGACAGCTCTGTTCCCGTGCAGCCCGTCAGTATTGGTTGTGACTTGCTGCTCTCGCTCTTAGTCACTCTTAGCAGGGGAGCAGATTTTGCAACCGAGAAAAGGGTGCCCCAAAAAACGAAACACCCACGCATGAGCTTCAGGATCTCATGCGGGCAACGCGCGCGGGCGACTACGATGTGCCTTGGCCATGAGCAAAGCTCCTAGCCGGTTCTATGGCTGGGTTCCTGACGCCAGAAAGGAGTCAATCTTTGATGATTTCAGAGGGATGCCAGCCTTGATTCCACAGGATTCTATCCTTTGTTGGACAGGAGATCGATTCCAGCTGATTCTTTCAGACATAGGTGTCCCTTTTAGCTTAGTTGGGATAGAAATCCCACTGTATAGTAGATTTGCTTCATTCACCAGGCACCAGGCACATCTCGATTTTTTTTTCCTCCAGATCGCCCGTGCGTCTCAGCATCCGATGTGCTCGGCTCCCCGCAGCAAGCTTTGGCTCACCCACCCCAAACGCATCGGTCGAGCCATGGAGCCGATGCTCGTCATCGTCGTGGGCGGAGGGCTCGCTGGCCTTTGTGCCTCCATCGAGGCCGCAGAGTGCTTGGCGAAAGATTTCCGGGCACTTCCCGAGTTCATGGGCTTGAGTCACTTTCCGGGTTTGGACTATTTTGGTGGCAAACAAACAATTTGGTCCAGCTTCTTTTAGTGACCTCGATTCATTTTGTGGCTGCTATGATCCATTTTGAAATTGAGGTCACTTAGTCCTAAATCAAGGAAAGATCCGGTTTGTGCTTGGAGAACCAACACCGTTCGAAAGATGTGAAAAGATCCGGACTCAGGGGGGCTTGATGGCTGAAGTGTGGTGTGCTGTTGCCGGATTCCTTGCACGTAGGCTCTCCAAGTCGTTTCACTCGGAGCTTTCCATGAACGTAGGCTTCGGCAAGACGGGTTTGGTCGCGTGCCGGCCGTTTTTTTTGAAGCATTTCGGCCAAAAGCTGCTCGCTCTTCAGGCAGCCAAGAAAGGTGCTTTGGTCACCATTATCGACAAGGAGCTAGTTTCTGCACTGCATGCAGCTCATGGGGACCATTGTTTCCCCTCTTTTTGACCTGACAATTTTTAGCCGCGGCTACAATCAAAAAGGTAGAATGGAGGTTGAAATCAAATTGCTTAGTGATGATTCCAGCGTTTGCTTAGTGATGATTCGAGAGGCTGCGCAAGCGGTCCAACAATTGCACAGCAAATCGCACAAGTAGACTGTCCCATTCTCACAAGCAAAATAGACCAAAGAGTCTGTAGAAGCCAGTCTCACGCCATACTGACAGAAGCTAAGCAAGATAAGGTTGAGCATGTCGTATTGAGCAACCCTTGATGCTTGCATCTAATAGAATTTGACGACTGCAGCTGCCAGCTCCATGCGTAGGCGCAGCCATACAGAAGTACGTGGAATGTTTGGAGCGCAACGATTTGATACCCTCGGACGGAGATTCCATGAAGCCATGCACATGTTCCAATCGCCTTCTACATACATGTGCGGAAGCACGGCGTGTTTGCGCGAAGCAAAGCAAAACACAGAAGACAACAGAGTTTCAATGCTCCATCACTGAAGGATCAAAGGAAGTCAAGTGACTTCCGTGACACTGGCACATGCGTGAATTGCGCGTGGAAATGACGAACAATTGAGAAAGGCGCCAAGAAAATAGGAGGGATAGAAAAGCGTGGTCTTGTGGGTGAATTCGGCTCTGTGATAGGTTCGCAGACCATATCAGAAACGGAGGCACGCTGCTTCACACCCATCTTCCAATATGAACCTTTTGCGGTCTTTCGCAGGTGGAACGCGAAACTAACATACCGGCGATCGAACTAACTAGCAAGCTCAGTGACAAGCTCCATTGACTAATAGCTACTAACGCACCAGCAAACAAGCTAGATAGCTGATTTGGCAACAAACTGACGAGATTGCTTACTCACCAATGCACTATCACCTGCCAAACTATAGCTAGCTAGCCAAATGGCAAAGCAACTAACAAGAAACTTTCGAAACACTGACCATCTAGCTTACAGGCTCACTAGTTCCCTAGCTGATGTACTACCGTCTTAGTGAACGAGATATAGCTAAGTAAAGATTTGTATCAGCTAGCCAACTGGAAGGAAGCATGTCTCAACTAAAAGTGGTTCAACACGGTTGCGCCCAAGCTGCGATGGGGTTACTGCTCGCATCTTGGTTTGGGCAAGCCGCTCCCCCACCGACAAGGAATCTGGGCAAAGCAGATCTTCGCCAGTTCAAGCGCCAGGTTGTCCCTACATGCCAGCCGCTTGTATTCGCAAAGCCACCGTGCAGCAGCAGAATCCACGGAAGCAAATTGAACAGACCAAGCGCCCAACCACTGAATCGTGCCGAGGCAACCCCCGCAGAACACAGAAGTTCGGGAGGGTTTCTTTGCACCTGTTGATTTATCTAAGCAAAACATACAGGCCCCAAAAGCCTTCTACTTTGACCAAAAGCATCCGGAGGAAGATGTGCATTCAAACTTAAGGGATCCCTTGCCAATTGCACACTGCACACCGAACAGTGTCCGGCACGAAGGTTCAAACTGACATTGAACTAGGCGAGCACAAGGGACGGGGGTCGTCCATCTTGGCTTGGCACACCAGAGGGAGTTTGTATACCGTTCTTTTTCCTCAATGACTTCTACATGTGTTTTTTTTTGAAGGTCCTCTGAGATCACAGGGAAACGGCAGAACATCAAGGAACCCCCCAATTGGCGGTTTGGATTGGTGGTTTGGGGATTTGAATGGTTCTTGTGGGTAAATGGGAAACCACTCCTCAACCACCACCAATCCAAACAACCAAATAGAGGGACACGGCAAAAAACAAACCGCAGTTTTGGGGGGTTTGTTCGAAAAACCGTACTTAAAAGGGAACAAAGAAAAACAGGAAACGGCAGAAACAAACAGCACACCGCAGATGCTTGCTTTATTCCACGATGCAGGAGGCCCAACTGGGCGGGAACTCCGTGAAGGCCTCCTCTGGAATGAACGGTGCAGCCACGCAGGCGCGGGAGTTGGGGGTGTGCGACTTGTTGTTGGGCACGCTTTCATGGGGTTGGTTTAAAGGGAAACCGTAAGGAAAACCATCAATTCACGGGTTGGTTTTTAATGGGAAACCGTAAGGCGCCGGAAAGCCATCAATTCAGGGGTTGGTTTAAAAGGGAAACCGTAAGGAAAACCATCAATTCACGGGTTGGTTTTTAATGGGAAACCGTAAGGCGCCGGAAAACCATCAATTCAGGGGTTGGTTTAAAGGGAAACCGTAAGGAAAACCATCAATTCACGGGTTGGTTTTTAATGGGAAACCGTAAGGCGCCGGAAAACCATCAATTCAGGGGTTGGTTTAAAGGGAAACCGTAAGGAAAACCATCAATTCACGGTTGGTTTTTAATGGGAAACCGTAAGGCGCCGGAAAACCATCAATTCAGGTTGGGGGTAAAGGGAAACCGTAAGGAAAACCATCAATTCAAGGTTGGTTTTTAATGGGAAACCGTAAGGCGCCGGAAAACCATCAATTCAGGGGTTGGTTTAAAGGGAAACCGTAAGGAAAACCATCAATTCAGGGGTTGGTTTTTAATGGGAAACCGTAAGGCGCCGGAAAACCATCAATTCAGGGGTTGGTTTAAAGGGAAACCGTAAGGAAAACCATCGATTCAGGGGTTGGTTTTTAATGGGAAACCGTAAGGCGCCGGAAAACCATCAATTCAGGGGTTGGTTTAAAGGGAAACCGTAAGGAAAACCATCAATTCACGGGTTGGTTTTTAATTTTAATGGGAAACCGTAAGGAAACCGTAAGGCGCCGGAAAACCATCAATTCAGGGGTTGGTTTAAAGGGAAACCGTAAGGAAAACCATCAATTCACGGGTTGGTTTTTAATGGGAAACCGTAAGGCGCCGGAAAACCATCAATTCAGGGGTTGGTTTAAAGGGAAACCGTAAGGAAAACAATCAATTCAGGGGTTGGTTTTTAATGGGAAACCGTAAGGCGCCGGAAAACCATCAATTCAGGGGTTGGTTTAAAGGGAAACCGTAAGGAAAACCATCGATTCAGGGGTTGGTTTTTAATGGGAAACCGTAAGGCGCCGGAAAACCATCAATTCAGGGGTTGGTTTTTAATGGGACACCGTAAGGAAAACGCATCATTTTGGGGGCTAATTCCTGGGAAGAATGGCTTTGTCTGTTTAGGGCGGTGGTGTTCCTTTTGGTGTCCCTTCAAAGCCACGACAAAGGGTCACCAACTCTACAGAAGACATCTCTTTTTGGTGGCTTTAAAGGGAAATCCAAACACTGCTATTTTTGTTATTGGCTTTAAAGAGACACCCAAACAAAACAACGCTATGTTTAGTGGCTTTAAAGGGACACCCACAAAACAAAACGCAATTTTTAGTGGCTTCAAAGGGACACCCAAACAAGACAAGCCATTTTTTGGAAGGTCCGAAATTTATTCTTCTTTTTTTTAGAGACACACCGTGTCAGACGTCCGAGCCGAAAGGCTCAACGAGATCATGGCATCGAGGACTCCGTGGAGCGTTTCGTGCAGGAGTCTGCAGGGTCGGCCGGGGCGGGGTTCGCTCGAACAAGGCCAGGGACCCGGGGCCTGAAACGGGGACCTCTGGTTTGCCCATTGCTGCCCTTTCAACGACCCAAGGGCACCTGACTTCTGAAAAGAAGGCCAACATGAGACTCAGGTTGGACTGTTAAAAGGGACATGAAACTGGGTTGGACTGGGTCAAAAGGCCTAAAAGCTAAAAGTATTCGAGGCTTTTGGGTGAAAAGGGCTGCGCTAAAAACGAGTGCGACCCCGTGTTATGATTTTGACTGAGAATCTGAAGAATTTGATCGGTCAGTTTGGGGTTTTACATCCGTTGCATCCGCAGTGTGGCTGTTCAAGCGTGAAAATGTGCGAGCAGCGCACTTGGACGGTTTGTTGTTTCCTTTTGGGCCCCAAACCGGTAACCCTTGAATCTATAGGTTATCAGCCGTAGGCCCCTAGCTCTAAGCAATGGACGGTTCCCTTGTGCCAGTTGATGGATCCAGCATGCCTGTGGATGCTGCCGGAGCTAGCTCCGGCAACGCCACCGGCGGCGGTGTGCGAATGTTCGCATCAAGCGCTAATGCGCAATACAACCGC